TGTATTTAATACCACTGTACAACTGAGATAGTTAAGATGGTAAATTTTGTTACGTGTATTTTACCACACTACACAAAAGGAAAAATTGAGGGGAGAGGGAAGCAGCTAATTGGGGTGGGAGGTTGAAACTATGAGAGGGAATAGATGGAGCAGGTCCTCAAACAGCCACCAGAGAGGGAATTTGGTGCACTGGTAGAGAAATTTAGACAATAGGGACTTCTTCAGTTGTAACAGGAGGGAGAGGGAAGGATAGGTACGATTTGGGGAAGGTCTGGTAAGCAGAAGGCTGAGAGGAGTTTTCTCTGTTGATTGTTTACTCCCGAGTAGGGAGACAATGGGGTTCAAAGTTTGAGGTGAGTGAAAGTCTTATAATGGGCACTGGACAGAGTGGAAGAGTTAACTAGAAAGGACTAGTGAACCATAAGGTTAGAAATACTCATGCTGTTTCTTAAGTCTCCCCCATGGACGTCAAATATGAAATCAGATGAATCAAACAATGTGTGTGTCCCTCTAGTATAACCCTACTTGCTTTAAAAATCAAAGCGATGCCAGAGCACTGGGGCCTGTTCTGTTGTTAAAACTGGACTCAAATGACATTGGTTTATCAGGACAATTTTTGTGCAAATTTAGAAGCCATTGATGTCTGAGGGGAACAAAGACCAGAGGACAGTACATGTAGCACACTTGACTGCATGCCTGACCAGGGCTGATTCAAGTCCTTTCAAGTCTAAGCGTGGGGATGTGTCCTCTCAGGGATAAGAATGAGATTACTTGGCTTTGCTCCAACTGGACAATTCCAAGGATAGTGGAAACATATGGATGAGGATACAACAGTACAGTTAGTTGTAAAGACTCACAAAATGTGTACTAGTACTTCCAGGAGAATTCCATCCTAACACCTCCCCCCACAAACACCCCTTCCTATTAGACAGGCTGACTGTAGCCCTGGGTTGTACATCTGCATGAACAAAAGATCTGCAACCCCTGCCTGAGAGATGCCGCTAAAGCAGATATGACATGATCTCACCTGAGCCGCTGAACCCTCAAACAGCCACCTATCTCAGACTTAATCTAATGTTTTCTTCCACCTACTCCTATCCCTCATCTTGTAACTAGAACTACCATGTATAGGCCCCTTGCTCCAATGAATACTCAACACTGAATAGTTTCTAAGCCAAGGCATCTAGCATCTAGCAACAGGGGCTGGAGAATGAGAGGACATAAGGTAGGAATGTGACAAATATCCTCCAAGCAGATCCCCAGTTAGCCTGACTTGAAATTAGGTGTTTGAAGCTATTCTGGGAAAGCCCCATCCCAGATTCAGGATTAGGAAGGCAAGGCATTGGAGCCTTCTAGCGTCAGCCCCTCAGGTTCCTTCAGCTCCAGTGTGTCATTTTTAGAAGATGCTACAATCTGAATCAATCAACAGAATAAAAACCATTTATTCTCAAGCACAAAAAGCAAAGTCAGATAAAACTGCAGAGAATTCCTAAGAACCTGACATCTATGTCCAGGACCAAGAGAAACCTAAAGACCCCTGAAATCTACAAGCTGATGAAGAGGGGCCAAGACCCTGCTTGCGAAGGGGACAGACCTGAAATCATACATGCTGTGTATGAGACTCAACCCTGATATAGCTGTTCTTTCCAGACCTTCCCTTTGGGTTTCTCCCCAGAGTTATTTTGTACAATGGATCTTTTAGAGCCACAGTCCTTTTTGGAGTAACAAGTAGGCATAAAAGCCTATCATGCTTCCTCTGTGATATCACTCCAGTCTGTATCTTCTTTTGTACTTTTTCAATACAACCAATGGCATCCCGACATTTGATGTGTGATGGGACTGATGCAATCATCTTCAAATTGTTTTCTCAGATGCCTGCCTTTTCCAGCTCCACTGAATCCTACATATGTCTGCTAGACACCCCCCCCAACCCCACCAATTTCATAACTGCCTTCTGGTGACTTAACAATCTCTAATTCATTAAACTCCCAAACACTGTTCAACCAAGTTTTCATTTTGTGTCAAGATTTTTCTCTGTTTATGTGGCAAGGCTGCTCTCCACACTGTCCTTCCAGTATGCTAGGTTTATCCTGGAGAAACTATTTTAGTTTTAATATTACTTTCCCCTGCCTAGGGCACTCTGTTATTTTTCTCTCAGAAGCAAACTCCACTCTATGAAATCTTCTCTGGCCTCAGAAATCCTTACCTTCTGAATACTAGTAACACTGAAACTACCTTTATGTTAAATAATAAACAAGATGGAACAAAGGGAGAACACCTACTTCCAAGGCCTATTTTTATTTCCCTAGGACTAGAAAAAATTTATGTAAGGACTTTGTATTGGCATCTACTTTCTTTCTAATTAGGTAGCCAGTGTTCTCTGGTTTACCAGCAGGAAAAAAAGGAATGTGAGGAGCCCTCTGGCACTGAGTAGGGCCCTTGGCCTATAGAGACATTGCAATGATTTGTGCTGGAGCAATGTCAACTCTGAAATGGAACAGTAGTATCAGGTGATGACTAGCCTATGAAATCATATGTCTCCACTTCAGCATGATCATTAATACCAGCAACCAAAAACATAATGTCTTCTTATACTCATTAACGTTGTGCCAGTAACATGTGCACTTCATAATTAAGTTCAATTAACATCAATAACAAATACATCAACAATTATTATGCACACAATGAATGACACTCAAAAAAGACCCCAATAAAATCCACTGTGTATGGATAATGAATATATCCAGAGTCTTCCATTGGACCAAAAATCTCTTTGCCAAGAGAGTTTCTCTATTCTAGGACATACCATTCCATACTTGGGAACTTACTAAAATAAGTAAAAGAAACTGTGGGGACCGAAGCTTACCACAGGCTCAATACATTCTCAGCAGATCACTGATGTTTCAAGATAGCACACGGTCACAGAGGCAGCCGTTGGCCCCTGAGCCCTGGAAGCCAAGCTCTGGCAGGGATGAATATGGATTGTGAAGGAATCCATAACACTGAATCTTACCTTTTTAAAAGACATTCCTTTAGGAGACCTCTCTGCAGGAAAATGTATCTAAACTCAAAACTATGGCATATGCTTCATAGACTCCATGAAACCCATCCAGTGAATTCTAAGGGGCTTGAACCAGTTAAGAACTATTGATCTAGATTTCTACCAGATAACTAGTTACTCCTACCCTTGAAAAGTCTGAAGCATATCCCTTCCAATTTTCCTATTTAGATTTAGGGCTACTCAGTAGACCGGTTATACATGTTGTGAGAGGGTGGGAAGGGAATCAGCCTGCAGCCTTGTGAGGAATCTATACTCCTTCAATTATCGCCTTTGTTTTTAATTGTTTCAGGGTTGGTCCACAGCAACTGCAGGGGGTGGGAGACTTAAAATTTCTTCTTACAACAAGATTTCCAAGGTGGGTCAGAGTTGGCCAAAAGCACAAAGACTCTATAGTCAAATGCCAACTGGGGAAATGTGGCAGGATTAGCAGTCTGTTGGTCTCTCTCTGCAGTACCTATAATGTCAAATTAAGGGAACCATCTGGAGGATGGCATTGGCCCCTTCCCTTCCCAGGAAACCAATATGGCCCTAAAACACGGGAACATTTAAAAGGATAATCTGGGATTGGAACAATTCTCATCACAGAAAATCCTTCTTCCAGGCCTGGGCCTAGTTTTGTATCAAGGTCAAAAGCTGGAGAGGAGTCCTTTTGGCTGCAGTTTCAGTTTCACCTCATCTTTGCTCTGTAACTCTGTGGGTACCAACAGCCTTGGCCAGGTATGAAATGTTGACTACTAATATTTGCTCTGACTGTTCTGCACAAAGATGCTCAGTAAGGAGGGAGCCAAGTCCTTGGCAGTTACAGCTGCCTTGCACAGGTAAAAATGGCTAGTCCATCTAGTCCCTTATGGCACAGTTTGTATTCCAAGAACTGTAAACACAGACATTCAGAATCCCTTTACAACCAAAACACCAAATATCTGAAATCATTCCCCAGCTCTAACAAATTTGCCTTCCGGGGTCTGGAGACAGAGCCAGTATACATGACTACTGCTGATCACTTCTGGAGCTGCCTTGAGGCTGGTCATTAGCAATTTGAAGTCACAATTTTCACTGAGGATCCAAACCTTAAATCACCTTTTATTTGCTTGGGGCTACTAAGGGGGCAAGGTTAACACTTGGGATGTAGAAAAGATGCTGCAAGTGCCTGTAAGCCCAGGTTGTGCAGCAAGCTCGGGCCACCACTAACTTTCCACAATGACTTTACCACAGGCCTTGCTCAAGCAAAGGCAACAGATCCACTGGTAATCAGATGTGAACTATACAGATTGCACCTGCTGATGAAAACCATGAGGTCATGGTCCTGCAACACAGATTTGCATACACCAAAAGCCCCAGGTTGGCATTTTGGTCCATGCTGTGGGCATCAGGAGAAAGAGGGCTGACAACATTCAGATGCGGTGTCCCACCCCAAATCCAAAGCACCAGCTCACAGGCCTCATGCCATACTCCAAACATGATGGCTGGCTTATCACCTATCCTACTTGGGACCTCCCTCTATCTAGGTTTCTCTTTTAAAAAACATTTTTCTTTAATGCTTATTTTTGAGAGAGTGAGAGAGCGAGCAGGAGAGGGGCAGAGAGAGGGAGACACAGAATCCAAAGCAGGGTCCAGGCTCTGAGCTGTCAGCACAGAGCCGGATGCAAGGCTCGAACCCACAAACAGTGAGATCGTGAGCTGAGCTGAAGTAGGACGCTTAACCAACTGAGTCACTCAGGTGCCCTTGTGTCCCTCTTCACCTCTATTCTGTCTAGAGGCTGGTCTTAATGCTCCTGGCCAGAGAATAGGCAGGAGCTGCCACAGGGATCTTGAACAAGTGATTAGCTACAGCATCTAGATGGGGAAAATGCTGGCCAAAAAAAAAGACGGAATTTCAAAAGGTAAATTTCTGTGTATTCACGCCTAATTTTCAAAAGCTGTGTAAACAATTTTTTTCTACCATCCCCAATCATTTGCACAATTTTTGTCAAGTCCAAACGTAATTTAAAATGAGGTAGGTAGTTTCTCTCTCTTCTGCCTTTGTCTTTATAGTGACTGTCGAGGCCTGTGCCGTGAAAGCACTAGTCTCCCGTGCAGGGGGAGCACCGGGGGTGGGCACTGGTGACTGATGGAGCTTCTTAGTTGGCTATTTTCTCAATCTCATCCAAATCATCCGTGTCCAATCTTTCTATTTTCTTATCTGGAAAAAAAATTCATATAGGCATCAACATGGGGCTACCAGGGAGACACACATCTAGGAAAGGGTCAGCACAGCAGCGAAGGAGGGGACACACAGCTTTCTGCCCACATGCCGTGCCTCTGGCCACAGCCAACTTTCACATAACCCCAGAGGCTTCCGGTGCCCGAGCGTGGGACAGAGCCCTAGGCCCTTCAAGCCTGGCCAAGGGGAAACTCTCATTCGAGTCCCTGACCCGAACTCACCAGGTGTGCTCTCTGAGAACTTCCATAGTGTAGGCAAGGAGGGGGACGTGACAAGGAAGAAGGCCTCTCGAGGGGGCCCCAGGAGAACCTACCCTTCCTCCCCTCTCCCTTGGACCTGCCCCTCTAAGGAAAGGGCCCTGGCCCGGGGGGGGGGGGGGGGGGGGAGGGGGGCACTCCCAGGCACTCACTAAAATGCTCCTGGATTCTGTTCAGGATGTTCATGCTGTGTTTGCTGTCGACCATGTTCACTGCCAGGCCCCTCTTGCCAAAGCGGCCCGTGCGCCCGATCCGGTGCAGGTAGGTCTCGTTGTCCGGGTTCCCATCCTTGTCCACGGGAAGGTCAAAGTTGATGACGACAGATACCTGTTCAACATCAATACCTGCACGAAAGAGAAGTGGAGTCAGGACGGGAGACGAAACCCACTGCCAAGCAAGCGAGGCCGGCACACACCAGCATCAGGTGCAGGGAAGAGTCTGGGGCAGGCCAGCTCTGGGATTAGGGGACCCGGGGCACGCAGCAGAATCCAGAGGGAAAGACAGAACTCCGGCAGGTGCTAACAAAATTACGACATCACTAGAAGGGCCTCTGGTAGATACGAGTGTCTGGAGATGCAGCTGAAACCTCCCGGGGGGGGGGGGGGATGGGCCCAGGAGAGCAGGCGCCAGTCACTCTGGACCAGTCACTGCCTGTTTCCTTCCACCACAGCAGGACTCCTGGCTTCTGTGAGCTCCTATCTGCTGGGGGCATCCAGCCTCTCCCAGAAAACAGTGTCAGCACCAACACCAGCTGCCCTCCCCCGAACCATCTGAGGAGAGGAGAGGAGGACTGCTCTTGCCACCCGGAACCCGGCGAACGGGCACGTTCTCTGCTCACCGCGGGCACACACGTTGGTGGTCACCAGCACCTTCTCTTTGCCCTCGCGGAAGCGCTCGATCACAGCAGCCCTCTGCTCCACCATCATTTCGCCGCTCAGCAGAGCCACCTGGTGGCCTTCTTTGGAGAGCTCTGCTGCCAGCCAACTAGCTGTTTTGCGGGTCTGGAGTGAAAAGAATTGTTTTAAATGGAGATACCTGTAAAAACAAAAACAAAAACAAACCTGCAAAAAGTGGTTTGTTGCCATTAAAATACATGAAAGCCTGCTGAGTTCAGTCACCAGGACAGGCTTACCAATTTTACAAAGACATATTAGCCATGTGATTTTTTTTTTTTTTTTTTGGATGAATTGCTTAAATCATCTTAGTGGTCAGCTAGGAAGAGTGTGGTATGAGCCAAACATCTTCATTCCCATATAGTCTATGTTCTTAATGTTTTATAATTATTTCATTGGATGTTATTTGGAGGTTTTTCCAAGTTATCTCTAAGAAGTGGGACCAAAGACAAGTTCAATTCTTCAGTCTTTACCTCATAACTCATAGTCTGAGGAGACTATGCCCTGGGGCAGGTGGAGGTGATTCATCATTTCCTTTCTGGTCACAAGGACACCCAGTCCTCCTCAGCACTGAGGTGAAGCGGGCTGAGCGGGAGGGCCACACACACCCTCCAGTGGAGCTCCTCCCCCCGCAGGCCTGCTGCTGCCACTGCTACTCACATGGCAGAAGATCATGGCCTGAGCAATGGTGATGGCCCCATACAGGTTACACAAGGCCTGGAACTTCTCATCTCTGTTATTGCACAGGACGTAATACTGCTTGATGGTGTCCAAGGTCTCCTCCTCGCGCTTCAGTTTGATAATGTTTGGGTCTGGGACCACTTTCTGGGCAAATTTCCACACAGAGTCTTCAAAGGTGGCAGAGAAAAGCAGCATCTGGCAGTTCCTGGGCAGCATCCTGCAAGGGAAGACCCAGGCATGTGGCATGACCCCGAGTCTTTCCCTGGAAGGAACAGAGACAGCCGCCCCGGGCCTGGATGCTCTCCACGCCTGGGAAAGAGGCTAAGTGGGGGAGGAGAAGAGCAGGGAGGAGGCAAGAGCAGCCATGGGGCAGGGACGGGGCTGGTGTTCGATTCCCTAAGACTCCTTCCTCAACCCGTGGTCAGCGCTCATGAGCAAATGGCCCATCAAACAAAGGCTTCTGGAAGTACTAGAGTAAAGGAGCAAGAAGAAGTGTTTGAAGTAAAAGGAGAAGATGCTGCAGATCAGGAGGCTGAGGCGTTCCTCTTGGCTCAAGAGTTCCTACCTCTGGATGCGGATGCTCTGGTCTTGGTGGCCCTGAGTAGCTATCATCACGTCAGCCTCATCCAGAACAAACACCTTGATCTTCTTAGGGTCTATGAACTTGAGCTTGGCGCACCAGTCCAGAACAGTCCCAGGGGTGCCAATGACAATGTGTTCACTGATCTTCTGACCTCTTTCCACTGTGGAGACAAGATGTTTTCTGTGGGTATTTCCATGGTAAAGCCTGTTTTCCTCTCTGAGAAAATCTAAAGCTATGATGTATTTTAATGCAACTGTTTTGATGTTTTCCTTAGTGTTTTAAGGAAAGGTTCTATCACTATAGTATTTAATAATGTTGAAAAGATAAGGTAAGGATATAAACAGTGAAAAGATGAAAGCCTCTTCAGTAGCGTTCTTTTCCATTCTCTGTAGTCATCCAGTTCTCTTTCAAGGAGGATCTGTGGTTATCTTTATTTCTTCTCTGTCAACATCATTCCCCCAGCCCAGGATGGCACTTCTCCCAAGCCGACTTTCACAGCACTCTCTCCAGTGTACTCTGCCCGTCAGCTACTCTAGTGTCTACATCAAACAAGCCAGTCGCCTTTACACACTCTGTCAGGGTCAGTAAACAGGATTCACCATGAAAGTCTTTGCTTTCTCAAAGAAACACAAACTGCCTCTATGAGATGAAGTGCTTCTCCAGACAAGGCCTGGTGGACCATGGCATGTTCTTGACCGGGTGTAGTCTGAAACTTACAAGATTTGGTTCTTCATTTTGAGTTAGATGGCACTTATAATTTTTAGTTCTTTAATTACAGTCTTGACCAGACACATATAAGCCTCCTCTAAACAGCCCAAATTTCCCCTTACTGTGAATGTTGAGTCAATTCAAAGCCAACAAATGCTACTCCTTACTTCTGTTAAACAAACCAATCACTGTCCCCCCACAAAGGTTATTCTGACTCCTCTTCAACCCAAATTGAAAAATGTTAAATGTTTTATGATCATCTTCCACTGTATTTTATAATCTTATTTACTTTTTAGAAGCAATTTCAAGTTGGTATTAGGACGTTATACACTGAGTAGATTTCTGCAAGTCACAGGTTAGTGTTAAAGATTCACAGGACTTAGCCAAACCTTCAACAAGACTTTTTAAATTACTTAAATATTGTCAATTTGTTGTAAAACAAAAGTAGGAAACATGAATAAAGAAAAAATAATAAAAATAAGCTCCAAACAAAAAACAAACTCAAATACAGAGAACAAACTGGTGTTTGTCAGAGGAGGGGTGAGTGGGGGAGTGAAATAGATAAAGGGAATTATCTTTTACATTTAATCCACTTATCTTGATAAGCACTGAGAAAAAGAATTGTTGAATCATAGCAGGGCCTGCATGGTTTGGTTGGTTAAGCTTCTGACTTTGTCTCAGGTCATCATCTCAAGGTTTCTGAGTTTGAGCCCCGCATTGGGATTTTCTTGCTCTCTCCCCCTTTCTCTCTGCCTCTCCCTCAGTTGTGTGCTCTCTCTCAAAAATAAGTAAACTTTAAAAAAAAGGAATTGTTGAATCATTGTATTGTATACCTGAAACTAATGTAACACTGTATGTTAATTATAATCAATTAAAAAATATTCATATTCTAGAACATTTTTGTTCTTCTAATGATATTAAAAAGAAATTAGGCAATTTAGTGATATTAAAAAGAAATTAGGCAATTAAATCCAGAATGTGCAACATTTTATAAGCAACTGGTGTGGCCTGTTTAAAAAGTCAAATGTACTGAGGGAAAAGATGGAGGGACTATTCTAGATTGAAAGAAACTTAAGAGCTACAACACCAAGCGCGGTGTGTATTCACCAATTCGATCTTGGTTCAAAAACAAAGCAGCCACAAAGAAACACTGTGGGGGAAAAATAAAAATGGACTAGATACCAGTTATTAGACAATCTGTTAATTCTCTTGTGATAAGTGTTTTGTGGGTATGCTGAAGAAAGTCCTTATTATGAGATGCATGCTCAGGTATTTAGGAATAAAGATCCACAATGTCTGCAATATACTTTCAAACGGTTCCCCCCAAAACACACACACATACAGATAAAGCAAATATGGCAAAGTGTTGAATACATAAAGGGCACATGTGTTATCTTTATTATTTCACCTACTGTGTATGATCTGAAATTTTAAAAATAGAAGTTGTTAGAGGCGTGTAGGTAGCTCAGTCGGTTAGGTGTCCTACTTCAGCTCAGGTCATGATCTAATGGTTCATGAGTTTGAGCCCCTGTCAGTGCAGAGCCTGCTTGGGATTCTCTTCCTCCTTCTCGCTCCCTGCCCCTCCCCCACTTTGGGGTGCGTGCTCTCAAAATAAATAAACTTTTATTTATTTATTTTTTTAATTTTTTTTTATTTATTTCTAGGAGAGAGAGAGAGAGACAGCGTGAGCAGGGGAGGATCAGAGAGAGAGGGAGTCACAGACTCCGAAACAGGCTCCAGGCTCTGAGCTGGCAGTCAGCACAGAGCCCGACGTGGGGCTCGAACCCACGAACCATGAGATCATGACCTAAATGAAAGTCAGATGCTTAACTGATTAAGCCACGCAGGTGCCCCAAAAATAAATAAACTTTTAAATAAAATAGAAGTGGTTAGCCTAATGAATTAGAATCACATATTCATACTCACATTTATTGCCTCGGACAGCATAAGCTAGCTTCAGTTCAGGGTAATATTTGCCCATCTGTTCAATCACTTTTCCTGTTTGCAGGGCGAGCTCATAAGTTGGGGAGAGGCAGAGACACTGGCAGGGAAAGAGTGCACAGTGAGATCTCAAGGGAAGTGGGGAACTACCATCAGGACTTAGTTATTCCTCCAGCTAACGCCGAAGAAGGGTATGTAAATTAAAGTGCACACCATTTGACTCTTTAAGCTGTAAAGTCATAAGCTAGAATTCTTAAGGGTCAGAACTCTGGCTGGGTAAAGACCCTTGAACAAAGCTATTGGCCACAAGAATACAAAAACCCACATATGTGCAAGGATCTGAAATTCCAGTTGGAGATTAGCTTTCTTTTCACTCACTCAGAAAGTTCTCAGAACTTTCCAAAGGATGATAGTTGTAGACGGAGGAGGTTTTTCCTGCAAGTAAAGGTGCCAAGTCTGTCAGCGGTTTCCCAGAACTGGTGAACCACGGAGAGATAACAGCCTGTGTGTGGCTACTGGAAGATCAGCCATGTTGTTTGTGCTCCACAGGGGGCTCTGGTTTATGTAAAAAGTAATAAGCACCTTGGCTTTTATTCCATCGAATGTATTTTCTAGCTACACGTTAGCAGAAAATCCAAATTTACCAAGCCCTTACCTGGGGGTATCTATTTGCAGGTTCTACTTGGCTGAGCATGGCCAACACGAAGGCAGCTGTTTTACCAGTGCCAGACTGAGACTGGGCAATTAAGTTCTGTGGGCTGCACAAGAAAACAAACTGTTTAGGAGCTTAAATCTCAAGTATCCTCTTAGTTAATAACAATGCAGAATAAAGCTTAGTTTATGGAAGGGGGCTTTGATTTCTGCAGTGGAGTTATACGTCCTAGCTCCACAAACACAAAGCACAACAGAGAGAAGACTATGGTGGGATTCAGAACACACTCTTGTTATCTCTTATTCTTGACACAGCAGCCTGTGATTATTTTAAAATGTGAGACCGCTTATGTCACTCCTCTGCTCAACAGTCTTCCAGTCACTCCTCATTTCCTTCAGAATAAAAGTGAAAATGCTTGTGTGTTACAATCTGGCTCCCTAGTGGTTCTCGCTCTCAGCTCCTACTACCTTCTCCCTTATTCAACTGCTCTGCCACAAAGGCCTCAGTGCTGCCCCAAAAGCATGCCAGCCATGCCTCCATCCTAAGGTGTCTGCACTGGCTATCCTTTGCCTGGGGTGATGACATGTCCACTCTTCTCCCTTCAAGGTTTGCTAACACATCATCTACTTGGTGAGATCCAAAACTAAGCACTCGATTAGAATTGTAACCTACTTTGAAATGCCTTAAAGAATGATATATTGGTGAATAGATATGTGATAAAGTTTAGTAAAATGTTAGTGATAGAATCTAGATGGTGGGCATAAGGGTGTTCACTATAAAATCCTTTCAACTTTGTTGTAAGTTTGACAATTTTCATAATATAAAGTTGGGGGAAAACTGCAATCCATTTCCTTGGTATTCCTGATCTCCCCTACTACGCTCTGTTTTTCTCCTTAGCATTTGTCACCTTTTTAACTTTTATTTAGTTTATTTTATTTAAGTTTATTTATGGGGGGGGAAGAGAATGAGTAGGGGTACAGAGGATCCTAAGCAGGCTCTGTGCTAACAGCAGAGAGCCCAATGCAGGGCAAACTCATGAACTGTAAGATCATGACCTGAGCCGAAATCGGATGCTTAACCAACTGAGTCACCCAAGCACCCTGTCACCTTTTCTTAAAAATAACTTTTTAAAAAATTTTTAAATTTTTTTTATTTTTTATTTTTTTCTGAGAGAGAGAGAGAGAGAGAGAGAGACAGAGAGACAGAGAGACAGTATGAACAGGGGAGGGTCAGAAAGAGAGGGAGATACAGAATCTGAAACAGGCTCCAGGCTCTGAGCTGGCTGTCAGCAGAGCTCAATGTGGGGCTCGAACCCACAAACCGTGAGATCATGACCTGAGCCGAAGTTGGACGCTCAACCAACTGAGCCACCCAGGCGCCCCTAAAAATAACTTTTAAATGTACAATTCAGTGGCATTAATTACATTTAAAATTTATTATCTTTTAATATCCTATATACTATATGTTTTATTTATTTTTAGTAAAAATAAATTATCTATACTCCAGACTAAGTTCCTTATACAAGGCCTGGAATTTTGGTCTGCTTTGTTTACTAATGTATCCAAGTGTCTACAATAATATCTGTTACATACCTGCACTCAATACATATTTGTTGATGAAGAATAGTACTAGATACTTCTCTCAGGTCTCTTCTAACATTGATGATCTAAAAATTGAGCATCTATGAAAGCATTAAGATCTCGAGGGGCACTTGGGTGGCTCAGTCGGTTAAGTGTCTGACTTCAATTCAGATTACAATCTCACAGTTTCTGAGTTTGAGCCCCACGTTGGGCTCTGACCTGACATTGCAGAGCCTGCTTGGGATTCTTTCTCTCCTCTCTCTGCCCCTCCTCTGTTCTCTCTCTCTCTCTCTCACTAAATAAACAAATGAATAAACAAACTTTTAAAAAAAGATCTCTAAACAAATATTCCATTTATTTATCTCCAAGTATATTCAAAAGTGTCAAGCTAAAAAACAACATTATTCATCATGAAAAATGTCACTATTATGACACAGAACAAAGAAAAATTTAAGAAAATACATATCTAAAATATCTGTTTTTATTTATTTATTCTATTATTTTTTAAGTAGGCTTCAGGCCCAGTGCAGAGCCCAAAGTGGGGCTGAACTCACAACCCTGACTTCATGACCTGAACTGAGATCAAAACGTCTGGGGTGCCAGGGTGGCTCAGTTGGTTAAGTGTTCAACTTTGGTTCAGGTCATGATCTTGCAGTTCGTGGGTTTGGGCCCCGCGTTGGCCTCTGTGCGGACAGCTCAGAGCCTGGAGCCTGCTTCAGATTCTGTGTCTCCCTCTCTCTCTCTGCTCCTCCCCTGTTCACACTCTGTCTCTCTGTCTCTCAAAAATAAATAAACATTAAAAAACAAAAGAGTCAGATGCTTAACCAACTGAGCCACCCAGGTACATCCCAAAAACAGTATTTATAGACTATAGGAAAAGGAGTTTCAGGATTTAGGATTATATGCAGTATAATTTTACATAATCATATACATATAATGTAGAGATTAATTTATATAAAGATTTCCTCATACTCTCTAACCTTGTTTCTCAAAATGTGGTCTGAAACTAGCATCATCAGCATCACTTAGAAGCTTATTAGAAATGATGAACCTAAATAAAAAAAAAAAAAAAATGGGGCGCCTGGGTGGCTTAGTCGGTTAAGCGTCCGACTTTCGCTTAGGTCATGACCTCGCGGTTCGTGGGTTCGAGCCCCGCGTCGGGCTCTGTGCTGACTGCCAGCTCAGAGCCTGGAGCCTGTTTCAGAGTCTGTGTCTGCCTCTCTCTCTGACCCTCCCCTGTTCATGCTGTCTCTCTCACTCTCCTAGAAATAAATAAAAAAAAAAAAAAAAAAAGAAATGATGAACCTTAGTCCCCACCTCAGATGGAGACTAAAATGAGAATCTGCATTTTAATAAGTTCCTATGAGATTCATATGCCTATGAAAGAGTGAAAAGCACTGCACCAGAAAACAACCTTGGTAATTACCCTATTCTGGTCTCCCAGAAAACTGGTTTTGCCTACTGTATTTGACATAATAAACTTTATATATCCATCTAATGAAATCATGGTGTATATGAATGATAAATGTTTATTTATCAACATAAAAAGATGATCATCTAAGTTTTTTTTTATTGTGTGTGTTTCTAAAAAAATTTTTTTTAATGTTTATTTATTTTTGAGAGACAGAGGGACAGAGCACGAGTAGGGGAGGGACACAGAGAGAAAGGGAGACACAGAATCCAAAGCAGGTTCCAGGCTCTGAGCAGTCAGTGCAGAGCCTGATGTGGGGCTTGATTTCATGACCCTAAGATCAATACCTGAGGGGCACCTGGGTGGCTTAGTCGGTTAAGCGTCCGACTTTCGCTTAAGTCATGATCTCGCGGTTCGTGGGTTCGAGCCCCGCGTCGGACTCTGTGCTGACTGCCGGCTCAGAGCCTGGAGCCTGTTTCAGTCTGTGACTCCCTCTCTCTCTGACCCTCCCCTGCTCATGCTGTCTCTCTCTCTCCTAGAAATAAATAAAACATTAAAAAAAAAAAAAAAGATCAATACCTGAGCCAAAATCAAAGAGTTAGATGCTTAACTGACTGAGCCACCCAGGTGCCCCTAATTATGTTTTTAAAAAGCATTTAAAGATTTTGTATTTTATATATTTTTTAAAAAAGGTATAAGGGCACCTGGTGGCTCAGCTGGTTGAGTGTCTGACTGTTAATTTCAGCTCAGACCATGATCTCATGGTTGCAGGATCAAGCTTCTGTCAGGTTTTGCACTGGGTGTGAAACCTGCTTGGGACTTGGGATTCCCTCCCTTCCTTTCCCTCTGCCCCTTACCCAATTGCACACATGATAAAATAAAAAATAAACTAAAAAAAAAAAAAAAGGGTACGGGATACCTTGGTGGCTTAGTTGGTTAAGGCTTTGACTCTTGATTTAAGCTCAGAGCATGATCTCACAGTTTATCAGATCGAGCCCCATATCAGGCTCTGTGCTTACAGCATGGAGCCTGCTTGGGATTCTCTCCCTCCCGCACCCCCAGCCCTCTACCCCTGCCTCTCCCCTGCTCGTGCACTTTCTTTCTCAAAGAAATAAACATTTTTTTAAAAAAAGGTATAGATATAGATATGTAAGTTTACATAAAAAGTCTAGAAGTCTCTAAATATTAGTGAGGGGGGCAGATTACGGATGATTTTAATCTTTCCTTGTTGTCTACCTTTTCTAAAATAAGCATGAATTATTAGTATAGTTTTAAAAAATAATAGAATTTTTAAAAATGGAAAATTAAAAATGGGATAGGGTCATATCAGGACACATACGGCTCAGCAAGCATCAGAGGCAATGCATTCTCTTGTATCTTGGATGGACGGTTGAAGCCCATGGCATAGACTCCCTGGAGAAGCTGTGGTTTCCTAGAAAAACAGTTTAAGATGAAAGTCAGCATCTCTTTGGTTGAGGAAAGAAGCCAAATATCTGAGGGATTTCTTTTTCTCTTCCTTACTGTTGTTACACAGTTTATTTACAACTAACAATACTTGAATCGTGCGACACGGAGTGCAATTCACATTACCTTGCGATTTTACTTAACAGCCCATAGCAGCTAAATTCTTTTATTAAACTTGTGTTAGCTAAAAATGTTCTGCTGGGATGAAAAAAATATATACAATAGGACTAGGATCTCTATCTAAAAGGGAGAGTCAGAAAGTAAACAAATACTCACAGCCGAAGCTCCTCAAAGGACTTCACTGAGTAGAGCGGGGAATTGGGGTCCCGCTGCAGGACTTCTACTTGGTTGGTGTTATCGACAAGGTTGCTTCTGATCAGCTTGTTGAGTAAGGACTGAGCAGCTCTGTCTTCTGTCAGGGAAAAAAACAGCAAATAATTTTATTTTATTTTTATTATTTATTTTATTTTCAATTTTTGTTTATTTTCTTTTAGAGCAAAGAATTTTTAAAGGCTATGAAATCTACCATGAGTTCATCTGAATTTACTTGCCATTGGCATTTTAAGCAGTAGCATGTATTTGTGCTAGGACTTTATCATGCAACTGGGCTTCATAGTTCTCTCCAGCATCTATTCCAAACAACCCTCTTTTCTGAAGGTTATCTACTCTTCCTATGTATACCTAAGTATTTACTCCCCAATCTGTGCTCAACAGAAAATTAAAAATTATTAGCTTAACAAACATATCACAACAATTAAAAAAACCTGAAATTAACATTTTGTAACTTGATATCATATAAGCTGTTTCTATCTTGTTATCTATGTTTGATGTGTCCAAATATCATCAACTTTATTAGACAATGGGGATGCAACTTAAAATTTCTTTTGTAATACCCTGTACAAGATAATCATTCAGGGAATGCTGCTGAAGTCCATCAGTGGTTCAAAATAAAATTTCCCTAAAATGTAAACAATGAGAATTCCTTCAACAACTATGCTGAACTTTTATTAGCATTGTGACTCCCATTAAAGTCAAACCAAGTTGGGCATAAAAACGAAGCCATGTAACAATCTATTCTCTTAAGACTGTAGAACCTCATGGGTATAGCTCTAGGCTGTGTTACCTTTCTCTTCTTCATCTGCCTTCTCTGCATTAGCACTGGTCTTGACAACGGCACCTTTATCAGACACAAAGTGGCCGTCATTCAGTATCACATCCCATACCCAATAGCCGAGACAATTCAAATTCTATGAGACACTAGAAATGTACAGGCCTGGGGAGCAGAAAAATAAATGAGGAAACCAAGCCACAGATAAAAACATTTTATTATTCCTAAATAAACAAAGGTATGAAACAATGTTGTTTATATTTCAATTCTTTCCTATTCCAAGTCCTCTCACCATACCTCAAACATTAATGTGACTTTCCCTCATATCATCAATATTTCTGAAATGTTATAGAAAGATGATCACAGCAGGCAATGATCACAAAGCACCTTGATGTTCAACAGAGGAAACCGTATTTCATTAACATATGAATGCTATAATGCCATTAAGATTCTATGCATGTAAAGTACTGATTAATAGAAATGTATATTCAAACAATGTTGTAGATATGAAAAAATATACGGAAAAAGATTGAAACTTTGGAATGAGGTACATGTTCCTACTCCCTCCACCCAACCAGTAATTTTAAGTACATCAACAAAAATTTAATGGATTTTTGGTAGATACGATTTTAGATAATGACAATAGGTTAATTCTCAAGTTGCTCATACTTTGTCTATCTCATCTCAAATTGAGGAATATTATGAAAAACACAACAATTAATCTTTGGCAATATATTCTCATGAACAGCAATAAATTTGATCATTTATAAGTCAATTAGGCATCCTCAGGTTTATATTAAGCACAATACAAAACAAAACAATCCAGTTTAATTCCCAAATCAAACGACTGCCAGGATCTATCTGCCCCCTCCACCCCCCAAGCCTGGTACATATATAATTTTTTTTCCAGACAGCTGTTATGTCACAGCAGAAATACTAAAGAAAGTCACACTTGCTTTCAAACTAGCTTTTACTCACCATTGGCATCTGGTTTGATTTTCTCTTCCTTAAGATGTAAGTTGCTCAACTAAATGGAAAATATGGAGGGGGGGGAAGTGTCAGGAAAATCACTTAAAACATTTTAATCAACAGAGCCTCCCCAATAAAGCTGGGGAGAAATGAGCCACTCTCAAGACTTATTCATTAGGTTGTTCTGCTGGGCTCCTTTTGTTGGCTAAATGAGTAAGAATAAACAAAATATCTCATAAATACAGCAGTAGAAAAAAACTAGTTATACAACAGCTCAAAATCCACACCTCCTAATTACAATCCCTAGAGAGAATTATAATTTGTGAGTTTGCTTAAGGCCCTGGTTACAAAGACTCTCTCAGTAGAATACCCCTTGAGTTGTCATTCTCTTGTATTCCATACAACAGGAAAATTTTTAAAATACTGGAAAATGCAGTCACACTTCAGACAGAGAACATCAAGGTGGGAGGGCTGCAATGAAAAGCATCTGTGAATAGGCATCAGTTATGTTAGGTATGTCTGAGCCACAGGATGACAACATACCGATATGCATCCTCACATTCAAGTTTGCCTTGTGCTGGAAATCTGATATATGTCTATTTTTTATTGTTTATTTATTTTTGAGAGAGACAAAGAGAACATGAGCGGGGGGGGGGGGGGGGACAGAGGATCCAAACTGGGCTCTGTGCTGAGAGCAGACAGCCCAACATGGGGCCTGAACTCATGAACCGTGATTTCATGACCTGAGCTGAAGTCAGATTCTTAACTAACTGAGCCACCCAGGGGCCCCTGTCATTCTCACTCTTAATTGGCTATTAGCTTTTAGAGAAATCCTCTTAGAAACAACTGGTATAAGTGTTTCTGATATAGGCGTTTGTTGGAATTGGTGATGAAATATTTAAAAAGACAAGTATAAATTCTCTCCAAAAACACAATTGACTTCTTAAAAATGAAGCTTCCTATTGCAAGTGCAGAATAGTCCCTCCTCCCCTGGGTCAGCTGAAACTATTCCAAAGAGAAAGTTTACATTTCTTTAGTGTGTGGGGACTNCTTACCCAATTGCACACATGATAAAATAAAAAATAAACTAAAAAAAAAAAAAAAGGGTACGGGATACCTTGGTGGCTTAGTTGGTTAAGGCTTTGACTCTTGATTTAAGCTCAGAGCATGATCTCACAGTTTATCAGATCGAGCCCCATATCAGGCTCTGTGCTTACAGCATGGAGCCTGCTTGGGATTCTCTCCCTCCCGCACCCCCAGCCCTCTACCCCTGCCTCTCCCCTGCTCGTGCACTTTCTTTCTCAAAGAAATAAACATTTTTTTAAAAAAAGGTATAGATATAGATATGTAAGTTTACATAAAAAGTCTAGAAGTCTCTAAATATTAGTGAGGGGGGCAGATTACGGATGATTTTAATCTTTCCTTGTTGTCTACCTTTTCTAAAATAAGCATGAATTATTAGTATAGTTTTAAAAAATAATAGAATTTTTAAAAATGGAAAATTAAAAATGGGATAGGGTCATATCAGGACACATACGGCTCAGCAAGCATCAGAGGCAATGCATTCTCTTGTATCTTGGATGGACGGTTGAAGCCCATGGCATAGACTCCCTGGAGAAGCTGTGGTTTCCTAGAAAAACAGTTTAAGATGAAAGTCAGCATCTCTTTGGTTGAGGAAAGAAGCCAAATATCTGAGGGATTTCTTTTTCTCTTCCTTACTGTTGTTACACAGTTTATTTACAACTAACAATACTTGAATCGTGCGACACGGAGTGCAATTCACATTACCTTGCGATTTTACTTAACAGCCCATAGCAGCTAAATTCTTTTATTAAACTTGTGTTAGCTAAAAATGTTCTGCTGGGATGAAAAAAATATATACAATAGGACTAGGATCTCTATCTAAAAGGGAGAGTCAGAAAGTAAACAAATACTCACAGCCGAAGCTCCTCAAAGGACTTCACTGAGTAGAGCGGGGAATTGGGGTCCCGCTGCAGGACTTCTACTTGGTTGGTGTTATCGACAAGGTTGCTTCTGATCAGCTTGTTGAGTAAGGACTGAGCAGCTCTGTCTTCTGTCAGGGAAAAAAACAGCAAATAATTTTATTTTATTTTTATTATTTATTTTATTTTCAATTTTTGTTTATTTTCTTTTAGAGCAAAGAATTTTTAAAGGCTATGAAATCTACCATGAGTTCATCTGAATTTACTTGCCATTGGCATTTTAAGCAGTAGCATGTATTTGTGCTAGGACTTTATCATGCAACTGGGCTTCATAGTTCTCTCCAGCATCTATTCCAAACAACCCTCTTTTCTGAAGGTTATCTACTCTTCCTATGTATACCTAAGTATTTACTCCCCAATCTGTGCTCAACAGAAAATTAAAAATTATTAGCTTAACAAACATATCACAACAATTAAAAAAACCTGAAATTAACATTTTGTAACTTGATATCATATAAGCTGTTTCTATCTTGTTATCTATGTTTGATGTGTCCAAATATCATCAACTTTATTAGACAATGGGGATGCAACTTAAAATTTCTTTTGTAATACCCTGTACAAGATAATCATTCAGGGAATGCTGCTGAAGTCCATCAGTGGTTCAAAATAAAATTTCCCTAAAATGTAAACAATGAGAATTCCTTCAACAACTATGCTGAACTTTTATTAGCATTGTGACTCCCATTAAAGTCAAACCAAGTTGGGCATAAAAACGAAGCCATGTAACAATCTATTCTCTTAAGACTGTAGAACCTCATGGGTATAGCTCTAGGCTGTGTTACCTTTCTCTTCTTCATCTGCCTTCTCTGCATTAGCACTGGTCTTGACAACGGCACCTTTATCAGACACAAAGTGGCCGTCATTCAGTATCACATCCCATACCCAATAGCCGAGACAATTCAAATTCTATGAGACACTAGAAATGTACAGGCCTGGGGAGCAGAAAAATAAATGAGGAAACCAAGCCACAGATAAAAACATTTTATTATTCCTAAATAAACAAAGGTATGAAACAATGTTGTTTATATTTCAATTCTTTCCTATTCCAAGTCCTCTCACCATACCTCAAACATTAATGTGACTTTCCCTCATATCATCAATATTTCTGAAATGTTATAGAAAGATGATCACAGCAGGCAATGATCACAAAGCACCTTGATGTTCAACAGAGGAAACCGTATTTCATTAACATATGAATGCTATAATGCCATTAAGATTCTATGCATGTAAAGTACTGATTAATAGAAATGTATATTCAAACAATGTTGTAGATATGAAAAAATATACGGAAAAAGATTGAAACTTTGGAATGAGGTACATGTTCCTACTCCCTCCACCCAACCAGTAATTTTAAGTACATCAACAAAAATTTAATGGATTTTTGGTAGATACGATTTTAGATAATGACAATAGGTTAATTCTCAAGTTGCTCATACTTTGTCTATCTCATCTCAAATTGAGGAATATTATGAAAAACACAACAATTAATCTTTGGCAATATATTCTCATGAACAGCAATAAATTTGATCATTTATAAGTCAATTAGGCATCCTCAGGTTTATATTAAGCACAATACAAAACAAAACAATCCAGTTTAATTCCCAAATCAAACGACTGCCAGGATCTATCTGCCCCCTCCACCCCCCAAGCCTGGTACATATATAATTTTTTTTCCAGACAGCTGTTATGTCACAGCAGAAATACTAAAGAAAGTCACACTTGCTTTCAAACTAGCTTTTACTCACCATTGGCATCTGGTTTGATTTTCTCTTCCTTAAGATGTAAGTTGCTCAACTAAATGGAAAATATGGAGGGGGGGGAAGTGTCAGGAAAATCACTTAAAACATTTTAATCAACAGAGCCTCCCCAATAAAGCTGGGGAGAAATGAGCCACTCTCAAGACTTATTCATTAGGTTGTTCTGCTGGGCTCCTTTTGTTGGCTAAATGAGTAAGAATAAACAAAATATCTCATAAATACAGCAGTAGAAAAAAACTAGTTATACAACAGCTCAAAATCCACACCTCCTAATTACAATCCCTAGAGAGAATTATAATTTGTGAGTTTGCTTAAGGCCCTGGTTACAAAGACTCTCTCAGTAGAATACCCCTTGAGTTGTCATTCTCTTGTATTCCATACAACAGGAAAATTTTTAAAATACTGGAAAATGCAGTCACACTTCAGACAGAGAACATCAAGGTGGGAGGGCTGCAATGAAAAGCATCTGTGAATAGGCATCAGTTATGTTAGGTATGTCTGAGCCACAGGATGACAACATACCGATATGCATCCTCACATTCAAGTTTGCCTTGTGCTGGAAATCTGATATATGTCTATTTTTTATTGTTTATTTATTTTTGAGAGAGACAAAGAGAACATCGGACAGAGAAAGGGAGACAGAATCCGAAGTAGGCTCCAGGCTCTGAGGTGTCAGCACAGAGCCCAACATGGGGCTTGAACCCACAAACCACGAGATTATGACCTGAGCCAAAGTTGAGCACTTAACTAACTGAGCCACCCAGGTGCCCCTGGAAGTCTTAGATTTTAAACTGAGAACAGCCTGGGGCATCATGGCACACTGTATGATCAAACTACCTAGCAATGTGAAGTGGGAATACAAAGGAAGCATAGCAACAAATTCAAAGAAAGAATTATTAGAATTTTGATCAAACACTGCAAATTAGGTATATCCTGGCAGGACTTATCTCCTCTATTAGAATGAAAATACCCTTTTATTTATCAATTAAACCTCAGTAAAAGCTGGGGGGGGGTAGAAAATACCTTAAAGACAGGAATATTTTTACTTAAATTTTTATTTAATTTTTTTAACCTTTATTTATTTTTGAGAGACAGCGCAGGCAGGGGTGGGGCAGAGAGAGAGAGAGACACAGAATCCAAAGCAGGCTCCAGGCTCTGAGCTGTCACCAATGCGGGGCTCGAACCCATAAACCGTGAGATCATGACCTGAGCTGAAGTTGGGCCCTTAACTGACTGAGCCACCTAGGTGCGCCAGGAATATTTTTATTTTTAATTGATCTCTGGATCTAGCAGAAAGCAGGTGCTCTAATCATAAAATATTAAGGGGGCTTAGGACATCATCTAGTGAAGGGTGAAAGAATAAAAATGGCTATTTTTTTTTTCATGTTTATTTATATTTGAAAGAGAGAGATACATAGTGTAATCAGGGGCAGGGCAGAGAGAGACAGACAGACAGACAGAATCTGAAGCAGGCTCCAGGCTCTGAGCTGTCAGCACAGAGCCTAACTCGGGGCTCCAACTCATCAACCATGAGATTATGACCTGAGCCAAATTCAGGCACTCAATCGACTGAGCCACCCAGGTGCCCCCAAAATGGCTATTTCTTAAGGCACCACCCACACCAGCAATTCTTTATGTTTTGAGGTTCATTCTGTCTTTCCTCTAAGTCCAAGAAAGGGGAAAGGCCAAGAGAGGAATGAAACAGTTGTTTATTTTGATGGGTGGTTAGTTGGGATGGAGGAACCTCACTTCTCTATTGTTGCTAACTGAAAAGGAAGTTTCTGGTGTCTCTGTATGCTTTAGTGTTAGGGGACAGAGAAGTAGGGAGGGAACATGCTGGAGGGACTGGCAAGAAAGGAAATTGTCATAAAGCAGTAAAAATCCTTCATTAATTCCACATGACAGCAAACACACTGACGATCAATATGAAGCAACCAGTGCAACATATGGTATATGGCAGGCATTCAATATATTTTAGTCTTCTCTAAGAAGACCCTGCCAAAAAACCTAGTGTAAGTGTAGTATCCGGGGTTGTGGAGAGGGAGAGGGATACAGATTGCGGGGGGGGGGGGGGGGGGGGGGGGGGGGGGGGGAGTAAGGCAGGGGGCAGAGACAGACTATCTGACTTACTGGCAATATTTAAACAGTAAGTTAATAGCACTCAGTCCCAGGGTGATAAATGCTAGCTAAAACAAACGATAGGGCTGAGGTACAAATGAGTTAATTATTAGAAACATCTATTACCATAAAGCATTTTAATTACCAATGATAAAAGGAAAAAACCATTCTCTTGCTGATATATTGTCAAGTTGAAGTTAACAGAGTAACTGGTGTCCCCAAAATGGCTACTGCTATCAACTGAAATGCAATGTATATGAAAAGTTGGTAACAACATGTAAGTGAAACTACACAGGATTCTGGAGAGGTTCCAGCAGAATCTAAAAACATACCCAGGGGGCGCCTCAGTAGCTCAGTCAGTTAAGCGTCCCACTCTTGATTTTGCTCAGGTCGTTATCTCACAATTTGGGAGACTGAGCCCCGCATCAGGATTTTTCTCTGGCCCTCTCTCTCTGCCCCTCTCCCGCTTGCATGCCCTCTCTCAAAAAGTAAATAAATAAACATTAAAAAAACAACAACACAAAACACCTCAGCCTTTCCTTGGTTATAAGGTTCTCAAAGCCTATAAAGCAAGACAGTGAAGTTTGTATTTTCCAGTACAGTGTCAGTGAACTGAACGCTGACATTTATATTAAAAATACAGTTAGTTTAGGGGCACCTGGGTGGCTCAGTTGGTTGAGCGCCAACTTCAGTTCAGGTCATGATCTTGCAGTTCATGAGTCTGAGCCCTACATGGGGCTCTGTATTGACAGCTCAGAGCCTGAAGCCTGCTTCAGATTCTATGTCTCCCTCTCTATCTAGTCCTCCTCTGCTCGCATTCTGTCTCGCTCTCTAAAAAATAAACATTAAAGTCAATTTTAAAAAATTTTTAAAATGTTTTTTATTTATTTTTGAGGGTCAGAGACAGATAGCATGAGCAAGGAAGGGTCAAAGAGAGAGACACCTAATGTGAAACAGGTTCCAGGCTCTGAGTTATCAGCACAGAGCCCGACGCGGGGCTTGAACCCACGAACTGTGAGATAATGACCTGAGCTGAAGTTGGACGCTTAACTGACTGAGACACCCAGGCGCCCCGGCAAATTTTTTAATAAAATAAAAAAAATACAGTTAGTTTAGATACCTTCCTTTGCTCTATTTACTTGAACCAAAAAGGAGAAACCATTTTCTCATGCAACTTCATCAAAAACCATTTTGAAATTAAGCAAAAGGCAAAAAAGCAAAAACATCCACTTTGTAAGATCCATATTCTTTCAATGCCTTTATTATTTTAGTTTTTAAGATGTGTTAAAATAATTGAAAATTATACAGTTACACATTGCATTTTATTCAAAAGCAATTGAGAAAGGATTCTTGAGACAGAAGAAGGAAGATTTAATGGTAAGTCAATTATACTGAATAGGGATTGTCTTCGGCAAAATGGTGAAGTGGAGGACTTGAGTCATACTCATCAGTTTTCTAATCTGTTTGCCCTCCTCTAAACTGGGAGGAGCCACTGAGGACCAAGGAAATAAATATAAACAGAATCTAGTTTTTCTTATCTAAAATCAATAAGGAATGAAGCTTACCAAATATTTAAAATACAGTAACCTTGTACTATACACATCACTGTCACCTGTGTCACACAGTACCTGTGGGGATCCTCAGTGGGAGTTCCATAAGGCAGAGGGTAACAGAGGTGTCTTGACTCATTTGCTCAGTGTTAGAATATTGTGATCTAATTTACCTGTGCATGGTTAAGTAGATTCACTTATCCAGGTTCAACTAACTAATCCATACAAGTAATTTAAAAGATTCCTGCAAAGAAACTGTGAATTATAGATAATGATAAAACAGCTGTTATACGTGTAGCACTTATAATAGACATGTCCATAACTCAACGAGGTAATGATGATTATATCTATTTTACAGATGTGGAAATTGAGGCACAGAAAGATTAAGCAATTTGCCCAAGGTCACATAACTAGTAAACGATGGACCCAGAATACAAATCCAAGTCTATCTGGCTATAAAGGCTAAGGGTTTTTTCTCTGTTTTTGTTTTGTTTTTTAAGTTTACTTTATTTTGAGAGTGAGAGATAGTGAGTGGGGGAGGGACAAAGAGAGAAAAAGAGAGAGAGACACAGAATCCCAATCAGGCTCTATGATGTCAGCACAGAGCCCAGTTGGGGCTCAAAACCACAAACTGCGAGATCATGACCTGAGCCAAAATCAAGAGTCAGACGGTTAACTGACTTAAGCCACCCAGGCACCCCAAAAGCTAAGGTTTTAACCTTTACAAATTGGTGCGTCTCAGAGACAATACTAATCTCATAGGAAATAATCATTTTAGGGGCACCTGGGTGGCTAAGTCAGTTATGCCTTTGACTCTTTCAGCTCAGGTCTCTCAGTTTGTGAGATTGAGTTCCACGTCACGTTCTGCACTGACAGCACAGAGCCTGCTTGGGATTCTCTCCCTCTCCCTTTGCCCCTCTCCTGCACACATTCACTCTCTCTCTCAAAATAAAGAAATAAAGAAATAAAGAATCATTTTAGGGATGATATAGTGGTACAGCCACTTTGGAAAAAATCCTGACAGTTTCTCTAAAGTTAAACATACAGTTATTATACAATCCAGCAATGCCACTTCTAGGTGTACACCCAAGAGAATTGAAAATATATCTCCACACAAAAAACTGTACATGAATGATCATAGCCAGCAGTGTTCAAAGTAACCAAAAAGTAGAAACAATTCAAATGCTCATCAATGGACATTGATGAGTGGATAAACAGAATGGGATATATCCAAACAATGTAATCTTTTTTGGCAATAAAAAGGAATGAAGTACTGACACCTGCTGCATCATGAATAAGCCGTGAAAACATTATGCTAAGTGAAAGTGGCTAGACACAGCAGACCACCTGTTGTATGATTCTGCTTATATAAAATGCCCAAAATAGATAAATCTAAAGAGACAGAAAACAAGTCAGCAGTTGCCAGAGAAGGATGCAGAGAACAGAGTGACTAAAGTTTGAAGGAACTTTTTGGAAGTGGTGGAAATGTTCCCTATCCTGACTGTGGTGATGGTTACACAACTGGATGCCTTTGTCAAAATTCACAGAACATGGGTAAGTTTTACTATATGTAAATTATATCTCAGTAAACTTGACTTTAAAACTGCAGAGGGCCAGAGCGTCTGAGTGGCTTAGTTGGTTAAACTTCTGACTTCCGATGACGTCATGATCTCACAGTTTGTGAGGTGGAGTCCCGCATCAGGCTCTGTGCTGACAGCTCAGAGCCTGGAGCCTGCTTCAGATTCTGTGTCTTCCTCTCTCTCTGCCCCTCCCCTGCTCACAATCTGTCTCTCTGTCTCTCAAAAATAAATAAACATAAAATGTTTTTAAACAAACAAAAACTTTGTAAAGGGCCAGTCTAAGAGATCCAACAGTCAACTAGTAAGAATTCTTGAAAGAGGAGATGGAGAAAAAGGGCAGAAATCAACAATGAAAATTTTCAAGAAAATTTCTCACAACTTAAGGACAAGAATTTTCCATATTGAAAGGAAAAATTCAGTGCCAGCAAAATGGATGCAAATAGATCCATGCCAGACTTATTATCATGAATTTTCTGAATACTGGAGACAAACAGAATATTCTTCAAGCTTACAAAGGGAAAAACAGGTCACATCAGGAATCAGAATGGTCTCAGACATTTCAATAACCAGTAAAGAAATCTAAAAGGCAATGATACAATGCCTTTAAAATTTGGTAGGAAATTAATTTCCAACCTACAGTTCTACATCCAGCCATAATATTATCCAAATGATAGGGCAAAATAAGATTATTTCCAGAAATGCAGTAGTATCTTAAAAATACTTATTTCCCATACACCTCCAGAAAGTTGATGGCTGGCTCCACCAAAGCAAGAAAGATGAAGAGAGGGTATACAAGACAAGAGGAGTGAATCCCCAGAATGAAGCTGAAGGGAAATCTGCCTATTTTCATCCGGACCCCAAAACGAGTTCTGCTCTGAACATAGGGAGAACTAGTCCAAAATGAAACAGGCTAAAAGACCTGGAGGATATTAAGTTAATAGAATACTTAATGTGTCTGAACATCCTGAGATAATCTTAGACAATTAGCAAAGAGCTTGGGGTTGAACTGTTGATAAGCACAAAGAACATGAAGAAAAATTGCAAGGCAATTATAAATTCCAAGAAAAAACAAAAAGTTTTAGAGGAAAGTAAAAGTATCGATAAGTTACTAATAATATAAACATGAAATACTGATCTAAGTTACAGTATAATGAAAAGGTAGGGAATGGGAAAATGTGCATGTGTGGTGGAGAAAGGAGGATGGAGGAAAGAATCAAAATCAGTAAATACCTAAAACTGAAAATTCAAGAACTAGCAAAACATGCTATTTAGGGAACAAGGAGGTCAATGATGTAAGTCATTTTCAAGAGAGCTATTAGTTGTCTCTGGGGAGGAAAATTGGTGGTGATGTAACCAGTTTTTAAAACTATTTGACTCTGAATTATGTGCATATAAATTATAGTCAGTTATTAAAAAAATAAGACAAAGTCCTTCTTCTCAACAGATTCACAGAAGTAAGTACGAACAAGTAGGTTCAAAGCACTATCAGAACTTAAGAGTTTTTAGGGGGGAAGAATTAATTCTACATAGTCACGTTTAACTCGTATCTTGTTTACTGTGCATGAGGCCCAGAACAAAGTTAAGGTGATCAGAGGAGGATTTACTGACTGCTGGGCCTGTTAAGTCGATCATTCATTATCACTAAACTTACACAAAGATGAGTAAGACACGGTGCTAGAGCCCAGGAAGTTCAGAATCCAGAGATGGAGAATGACACAAAGGTGATTATAATCCAGGGTGGGGGTGAGAAGTGCAGTCTACAATCAGTCTTGATTCAGGAAAGACGGACAGGCGGCTGGGCTTTTTATCCCTGGGAGCACTCACCCGCTCTTATGTAACCCAGGAGTCGGATGGATAAACAAAGCCACCTCAGAGTCCTGGCTCCATCCGCCCACGCACTCTATACCCATCCTGACCAAAGTGACGAGTGTCTCTCTAAGGGAACTGATCATCGGCCCAAACTGACCCCTAACCCTTTTACGGCTGAAGCCAACTCACCGATACGGCCGCTGCCTCCTGTTCATCCACCGCAAGGGCCCATGAGTCAGTGGCCATGGTCCCAGGCGCCGGTGGGACGCTAGTGCTGGCGGATTCGCCGGCTGGGGAGGCGCGATCGTGGGCTCTGGGGGGTCGCAGCAAGCCCCGCTCCAGCCCCACAGAGGGGGAAGACATTCGCTCTGGCGCTGGGGACCGGAAGCGGCGCGCCGCAGTGACGTCGGAGTCTGCGCCTGCACGACTCTCCCCACTCCAGCTGCAGCTTACGCCGCCTTCGGACCCCTACCCTAACTCCTGTTCAGCTCACATTTTCTTATCTAACGTCCAGAAACACAGACTGAGGTAGACAGTTATCTGAAAACACATTAGCTTCTGCCAACTGGCTTTCCAACCCACGAGCAAAACCACATTCCTGCCCAGCACGCTGACACCGCAGCTCGTATAGATTGAATGTATCATCAAAGCAATCGTTACAGATACAGTAGTCACCAAAATGCATATTGAAACAAGCACATCTTCTTCAGGGTGGTCATTTCAGTGCCCAGGTGTTGGGAATCAGCCATGTCAAACGCCATTTGGTTAAAAATTTGTCCAGCAGACTGCAAGCATTACACCTTCAAAAAGACTCAAGAGAAAGTGCTAGGGAAATGTGTTCCAGGTAGAGGATAGAAACAAGAAAGAGCAAGGTTTGTGTCTGAAGGACACGATTTCTGTCCATTTCTGTGGGGACTGATAAGAGCCAGGGATGAAGAAATTGGTAGGAGGTAGAGGCAAAGGGCCATGCAAAGCATCTTACTGAGCAAATGAGTTCACTCCAGGGAACCCTTCCCCATCTGGCAGGACTTTTGAAGTTATCTGTGCCTGGCTTGGAATCCCAGCGCTCCCATGTTAGAGTTGAATGGTTGGGAGAATTTTTTTAAAGGAAAAAATATCTTGAGCTTTTAGAAAAGTTGAAGTAAGGATTAAGTGTGGCACTCGCTTTCTCCTAACTGGAAACAAACAAGGTCCTCTCCCCTTATTCACTAGAAAGAAGCTGGGCATTTCCCTGCAACCCGAATAAACGAATCCCTATTTCTCTCTTTGCCAAAATTCCACTTCAGTAAATTAATTTCAAGCAGTAGCAGGCTCGGTGGAATTTTACCTGCCATGAGTAAGAATGTTTGCGAAAGGGTAAAGCATTTCCAGGCAATACTGTATTTGACATGATTCTTTTTCTCCTGCACCCTTTAGGGGGTTAATTTGGTGAAGTTTTCTTTGAAATTTATAGGTGAGGATGTGCAAAAAGAAAAAGGCAAATACACATCCAGGGAAGACATGACCTACATCTCATCATGTCAGAAGCAATCCTGGGAATATTTTGCCAGCAAAATTATATTTATCACAGGGCTAAAGGAGGTTAATGAATTGTTTTAAAGTTTAATGAGGTTAAGGGGCGCCTGGGTGGCTTAGTCGGTTAAGCGTCCGACTTTCGCTTAGGTCATGATCTCGCGGTTCGTGGGTTCGAGCCCCGCGTCGGGCTCTGGGCTGACTGCCAGCTCGGAGCCTGGAGCCTGTTTCAGTCTGTGACTCCCTCTCTCTCTGACCCTCCCCTGCTCACGCTGTCTCTCTCTCTCTCCTAGAAGTAAATAAAACATAAAAAAAAAAATTAAAGTTTAATGAGGTTAAAAAAGAAATCTAAAGTGCAGGACTGTATATAATAGGATCCACTTGTGCAAAAAATACCTCTCATATATGCTTGTACATACTATAGAAAATGTATGAGATACAAAACTGCTAACAGTGACTGCTTCTAGTGAGGGGCTCTAGAAATCTGGGATGGGAGAAGACTTCCTTTTCGTAGTGTACACTTTATACTCTGAAATTTATTTTCCATTAGCATGTTCTTAAAATTGTGAGCATTTCAGACAAACAAGAAAGGGAATAATATAATAAACATCTAGATTTCCACCTTAGGGCTTAATAAGTAAAACAATTATCATTTGATTGAAGCCCTCTGTATAGCCATCCCAAGAGACAGCAGCTCTCCTAAAGTTGGTGCTTATCTTTCCCATAAACGCTTTTAGAATGAGTTGCTTTTCTCTATTAAAACAACAACCCCAAATCTTAATAAGCGTCAGGATTCTACACTCTGTCTCCACTGCACACATCAGCACAATGAGAGACACGTGCTAAGAAGCAATCTGGTGTCCAAAGTGGTGCATTGAGAGAGGACTCAGGGTCCTAAGAGCAGCTGGATTTGAATTCAGCCTCCTGCATTTACTCCCATGTGACCTCAGGCAGCCTCCAACTCCACTGAAATCATGGTAAGTACCCACTGCACGGTTCAATTATTCAATAATCACAAGGTTAAGGCCTTTGGGCCAGCGGCTGTCTTATGGCGAAGGTTTGATATAAATATTAGCTATTATTGCTATTCCTGTCCCTCCCCTCCAGGGGTGAAGGTGAGGAAGACGCCTATATGTGTTAAAAAGGGTCTCATTTCTAACCTCAAATATACTCACGTCGCCTACAGGCAGGGCGAGCGGAAAGCGCCGTAGGGCGCGGCCTCGGATGCGGCCGGCAGCCCCGGCCATCGCCGCTCAGCATGGCGGTTACCTCGGTCAACGGCCACTCACTACCCCAGCTTCATTGGCTGACGTCTAGTCCAGCCAGCCAATCAGCAGAGAGGACGGCACAGCGTTGGGCAAGCGTGCCCAGGTACATATGGGTGCAAGGCTGATGGGTGCAAGGCTGGGTCTAGGCTCCAGCAAGGAGGTTCTTTGTGTGTTGAACGTTGTCATTTTTTCCCCCTGAATATCCAGCTTTTTCGCTAGGCTGGAAACCATGGCACAGGGCACTGTCTGCTTTCCTTGATGTTGATTTTCAGGGACTAATGCATAATAGACCTTCATTGGTGAATGAATAGATGAGGAATGAACATCCCCCACCCACATAGGTCAAACTTTTCAATCTGTATCTCTGAACAAGTAGGTGAAGAAGCTCTTTCTCTAGTTTATGCCCTTGCTACTCCAAGTGTGATCTCTCTGCAGCAGCGTAGATATCAGTATCTCTGGGAACCTATTAGGACTCAAAATCTTCGGCCTAACTCCTAGACCTACTAAATCAGGATCTGCTTTTTAAGATACCAGGTGATTTCTTAACAACTTATGAGCTGAAAACTATTCAGTTATTCTCATTTATCCTGATTGTAAATAAATGAACAATCTAAGTCCATTTTATAGATGATTAAAATATTTTAGGTGCCGTGGGAGAATTAGAATCTGGGACTACATATTTCCAAAACTAAGTATTTTTGTTTGTACTCTCTTATTTTAAAATTTTTAATGTTTTATGTATTTCTGAGAGAGAGAGAGAGACAGGGACAGGGTGAGCAGGGGAGGGTCAGAGAGAGAGGGAGACTCTGAGCAGGCTTCAGACTCTGAGCTAGCTGTCAGCACAGAGCCCAATGTGGGGCTTGAACCCAGGAACCCTGAGATCATGACCTGAGCTGAAGTTGGCCGCTCAACCCACTGAGCCACCCAGGCGCCCCTAGTTGTATTCTCTTGAGCTCTGTTAGCTTTGTCAAGTTCCAAGGGGGTGAACCAGTGTTCTACTGCAGAGTGTGTATAGTACTTAACCTGCAGGCCTATTTGCTTAGCCCAGAATAAAAGGTTTCTTAAAATACACAATTTGGATGTTATATTAAGATAGCTTTCCTTCTATTACATAGTTGACCTTATCTGTAAGAGGAAAATATCATAGAGTACTGGGTAATTAGCTGAATAATTCAAGTAGAATGTTTAGAAGAACATGACTTTTGGGCCTCAATAATTTCTCTTCATGTGTATTGACCAAGTTGTGGGGTGAATGAAAAAAAATTTTTTTATTCTCAGAGCACCTGGGTGGCTCAGTTCAGTTAAGCTTCTGACTCTTGGTTTCAGCTCAGGTCAAAATCTCACAGTTTTTTAGTTCAAGCCTCATGCTGTTAGCCTGGAACCTGCTTAGGATTCTCCCTCTCTCCCTCTCCTTCTCTCTACCTCCGCCCCCCCCCCCTTTTGCTATATCTCAAAATAAACTTTAAAAAGTATATATGTCTCTAATTCCTTCACCTGTGACGATTCTATCCTAATAGTGACAACTCTTGCAACATAGTGAAGTTATTGAGACTACAACCAATATTATTTTTATTTTGAAAGTATTTCGTTTCTGCTGAGGTGATGTGTCTTCTGAAAAACCAGCGGTGGGAAGCTGGTAGCTGGCAGCTGGTGGCAGGAAAGTCCCGAGGCGGTCAGATGATGGAATCCGATCCGCCATCTTGGTGTCCTTCCCCAAACCCGCCAGACCTGTCACCGGTTACCCTTATTAACCAAGTCAACTATGAAGATTTTGCAAACCAAAATGTCGGCCTCCAGAAGCCGGTCACGTGAGGTATTCCATCCCTTCTTTCCCTGCCATTGCATCAGCCGATTTAGAGCCGCCTCCCTGGAAACCGACTAGTAAGCCGATTCGTGCTCAGGTTGATTGGCATGATGATACACCAATAAATGTCTCGGAGAGGTAAGGCACGGCGGGCCGCGTTCCATAGGCGCGCTGTGATTGGCCAGGGCCGTGCGCCTTGCGGTCCGTGGTGGCTCCCGGCCGGTGCAGCTGCGCGTCTACAGGACCAGGTAACCGCGAGCTCTGGGTGGTGGGCTCTGAGGGAGGAGTTAGGAACGGCGACCTTTGAGGGAAGCTGACTGGCCTTGGAGAGTTCTGAGGCGCCGCTACAGCGGCTCGGTCCGGGTCCTGAGAGTGCGGTTACCCCAGCGGGTCCCTGGGCCAGGCCCTGCAAGGCCTCAGGAGCTGCAGCCTGGGCTGGAGTCGGGGCGGGCTACCGCACAGCGGGAGAAAGGCCTCTTGTAGACCTCCTGGAACGCCGAGGGTGGAGTGGCCTAGAGTGGCTTTGCCGAGGACCAGGACCTTGGGAGAATCACGGTTGCCATTGACTACCCGCCAAAGCTGAGGTTTTTATCTCCCCCGGTTTTAATCCCCTAGGGGCGGGTGAGGCTTTGGGGGTGGTAGTGAGGGTGATCTGGATGGATGGAATTCCTCTTGTGAACTGTTTTCTGATTTCTTAAAATTAGCTAAGTAGCTGATACTGGCTCAGGTTCACCTGGAAGCATTTTCTATGCCCCATCGTATTCAGCAATTACTTTTTCAGAGAGTCTGCCTTTCCCGGTGTGCTTTCAATTCACTGACAGTTTGCTGTTAAAGGATTATATCTAATCCTGTAGTACTTATTTAGCAACCATTGTACCAGATGTTGAGGATATACTTCTGTGGTGAGCAAAAATCAGTCATGATTCTCACAGAGGTGGAACTTCCAGCCTCTTGGGGAGATGCACATTAAACAAGCAGTCCAATGCATGTGGAAATTATAAAAGAAGACACCTGCAGCTACCAGAATAAAATAAGGAGAATCTGGTCAAGAAGGAGAAGGTTTTTTAAAATAAATCTTTTTGAAATTGATACATAAAAAATGAAATAACTAGGAAAAGGGAAAGAGAAGTAGGGTAGACGCTACCTGGCGAATAAAGAGCACATTGAAAGGTCCTGTGGCTGGAGCCTCCTTAAACCCAAGGGCCAGTGTGATTTAAGATACTTGTCAAGATCTTTACAGCCCAGTTTGGAAGTAGAATCTGAGGACTATCCTTTTTGCTACCTCTGTATTTCATACAGTCTTCTAGTATATTTATATTGAATAAATGAATGTGTGATGGTGACACAGCTTTTTTTTAGTAGTCCCAGCCTCCATACGGCTTATTGTCAATATATTGGATCCTTACATCATTTCACAGTTATTCTTGTATATGACTCTCTCTGTTGAGAGCAGAGACTCATTCATCTTGATTCTCAGCACAGTATGCACTTATATAGGTTGACTGAGTGAGCAAAATGGAAAATTGATGTGTCTGTTGTAATTCAGTTTATTTACTTCAGGTAGCCTATTAGAGAAGGAGCAACGAACGTTCTGAAACTGTGCTGTTGCTCAGTCAGAACTGGCACTGTATATTCATGTTTGCCACCATGAAGATTCACTGAGAGCCATGAGGAGGAGGGATGAGGAAAAATGTGTGACAAAGTTTCTAAAACCCTAGCCTTGGCTCCTTAGCGTGGACATAAGAACCCTTATCTATGGGAGTTTTAGTCAGTTCTTTGTCTCTTTCTCGGCCAGTGTTTGGCCATCTTTTGCCCAAAGGGCTTTTGTTCGAGTAATGAGTTGACTGAATTCTGAATAAATCAGTTGAAATTGTGGTTAAGCATAGATCCGAGTCAGAGTCTCTTGTTCACCGTGCATGTCTTTATTTTATCATCTTATAAGAAGGAAAAATAATAGTATCCATATTCCTTTAGGGCTTCCCTGTTTACAAATTGCTTTCAAATATAGGATGGCTTTTGAGTCTCACAAGACCCGGATGGAGTAGGCAGAGTAGATCCTACTTTTTTAGAGTAGGCAGAGTAGATCCTACTTTTTTACAAAAAAGGAAACAATTTGGGATAAGGTGACTTATTTAAGGTTAGAATTGGTCTCGAATTCTACAGAGTTAGTAATGTCAGTTAGAAGGTTCTCTTTTTTCCCCAGACGCTCAGTGCTGCATGGCACTCCAGCACCTATGCCAGTGATTAGTACTCTCCACTAAGGGCTGTCACTTTTCCCCAACCTGCTTCTCAGGAAAATCATAATAGATGTGAAAGAGCTTTGAAATTATAAAGCTTTTTATTTCCCAATTTCTCTCTCTTCTGATTCCCTTTATCACTGACTCTCAGCTCTGCTTCCTCAATATGGCTGCAACATCTTCACTCCTAGGAATCTACTAGCTGGGAAGGTAGCAGAGTACCTTAGGTGCTTAGGCTAGGTGGGGGTAGGTACAGTCCTATTTGCAGGTAGTCCCTTGTGTAGCCAGGCCCATCCCCAGGTCCACTGTGTTGCCAGCAGCCTGCCAAGATCGCCAGGCCAAACCCAGAGACCCTGGCTTTAGGGATAATGGGACTTTGCATGATTCTAGGCATGTATATTAACAGAACTGGAGGGTTCCTTAGAGTTCATCTCATATGGACCCCTTCTTTTGTTGGTGGAGTTAAATAACTTCCTTAAGGACTGGAACTCAGGCCTCGAGCATCCCCCCCATCCCCAGTAAGCTCTGCTCTGCTGGACTGGAAACCATGACGTTTTTATTCTCATTTCCTAATTCCTGGCCTAGGTCATGGCACAGAGGGTGCTCTTTACATATTTTGGTGTAAATGAATATTTGAAGAAAGCACTCATGCTCTACTTGACGTGTTGGTGTATTGAACCTTTTGAGGTTGGCATAGAAAGGAAGAACATGTGGGGCTGTTGCCTGCTGCCGCAGCATATTTTGTTTCAATGATGATTTTTAGCCTTGGATGTTACAACATAGAGATTTTGGGATCAAATAGCTTACCGGTGTCCTGCATTGACTTGGCCTGAGAAGCCAAGAGTCTTGTGTAATGTTTGCTTATCTCTTATTTATTTCTCCTAATTTTCCTTTATTTTTTCTTTGGTTAGTTCTCATAGGGTTAGTTTCAAGATGGACTCAACTCTAACAGCAAGTGAAATACGGCAGCGATTTATAGATTTCTTCAAGAGACATGAGCACACCTACGTTCACTCATCTGCCACCATCCCATTGGATGATCCCACTTTGCTCTTTGCCAATGCAGGCATGAATCAGGTAAGGGTTTTTTGCTTTTTCTAAACATTTCTTTATTTAGTTTTATTTTTTATTTACTTTTTAACACTTATTTTCTAGAGACAGCAAGAGTGAGGGAGGGGCAGAAAGAGAAGGAGACACAGAATCCGAAACAGGCTCCAAGTTCTGAGCTGTCAGCACACAGCCTGAAGAGGGGCTCAAACCCATGAACCGTGAGATCATGACCTGGGCCGAAGTTAGATGTTTAACTGACTGAGCCACCTGGGCACCCCTATTTTTTATTTATTTTTGAAATGTTTGTTTATTTTTGGCAAAGAGAGAGCGAGAGGGAGAGGGTCAGAGAGAGAGAGAGAAAGAGAATCCCATGCGGGCTCCATGCCATTAGCATAGAGCTCAACGTGGGACTTGAACTCACATACTGTGAGATCATGAGCTGAACCAAAACCAAGAGTAGGACCGTTAACAGAATGAGCCACCCAGGCACCCCTATTTATTTATTTTTTTTAGAGAGAGCACATGCATGCAGGAGGAGAAGGAAAGAGAGAATCTAAGGCAGGCTCCATGCCTAGCATGGAGCCCAACTCTGGGCTCGATCTCATGACTGTAAGATGATGACCTGAGCCAAAATTAAGAGTTGGAGGCTCAACTGACTAAGCCACTGAGGCACCCTCACTTTATTTACATTTCTAAGTAAACACTACGCCCAACATGGGACTTGAACTCACGACCCCGAGATCAAGAATCACATGCTTTACACACTGAGCCAGCCGGGCGCCACTAGTCTGTAAAGTCTTGCTTTTATTTTCTTCTAAAAAAAAAAACTGGGTTTTATTAGTCATTGACTAGGTTAATCTTGCTGAGGTTTGAAGAGACTTTTTAACTCCGCTATTGTCATTCTCCTTCAACCCTTCATTATCCTTGTTTTTTTCTTTGAGTTCTTCACGTTTCTTTCAAAGCTTTGCATTCATTCCCATTCTGAGGCATGCAGCATTATTGATGTTTTTTTAAACTCTTTCTCGAAGCTACTGCCACCAATGCCAGTTTAGATCCACTGCTGAAGAAACTGTTAGTAGGATTTACGTTTGGGGCAATTGAACTATAAAAGATAATTTGGAAGTTTTATTTTGATGTTGAAAACTGTTTACCAAGCTGATTATGAGAAGTGGATTCAGGTTAGATAGCGCCCTCAGGGTTTTCCTTTGTGGTTCACTTGGAATCCTGCTTAGCCCAGTGGACCCACTGGCCCTTAGAATGTGTCTCCCTCTAGGCTAAAGGATTGGTTGACATTTTATTTTCTTTCTGGTCTCTTTCCTGGCATGAAAAATTAGAGTCACTGAGAACGTTTTCCATCTTGTATAATGTTAACTGTGACATACACATTTTCAATTATATGTGTAAATATGTTGTATACACTTGGGATAGCGGCACTGATTTTATGTGGACTTGCAAGGTGATGGGTTTTCTGGAACACTGGAAAGGTTCTTTTGTACTCAAGCATTCCTAAGGTATGGGTTTTGCCTTCTCCCACATGTGCTGACTATACTTGGGGAAGAACTATGAGAGCCCAGTGTTTCTAAATGTTCTATGAATAACAGTAATTATTAGCCTGTGTGTAGCACTTACTATATGCCAGGCACTGACCTATGTCTTTTACGTTGACTCATTTAATCTTCATTCTATACTGAAGCACTGACAGCTCAAGTAAATAGCCTAAGCTGACATAGCTGGCAAATGCTGGAGTGTGGATTTGAACCCAGGTAGTCATTTGCTTAACTTTAGTGCTATACTGCCTCTTAATCAGAAATACCTTGATGATGGTTTTGCTTCCTTATTTTTTGTTTTTTGTTAATTTGAAATAGTATTTATTACACATCTGCCCTTTTTCAGGTACTAAGCTAGGTACTGGATATACACAGATAAGTAATAATAGTTTTTGCTTTTAAGGAGTTCATGGTCTGGGGGTGCCTGAGTAGCTCAGTCCATTAAGTGTGTGACTTAGGCTCAGGTTATGATCTCACAGATCATGAGTTCGAGCCTTGTGTTGGGCCCTGTGCTGACAGCTCAGAGCCTGGAGCCTGCTTGGGATTCTGTGTGTGTGTCTCTCTCTGCCCTCCCCCTGCTCATGCTGTCTCTCAAAAATAAACATTAAAAAAAAAGGAGTTCATGGTCCAGTTCAGAACTGTCCAGTAAAATTTTCTGCAGTGATGGTAATCTTCTGTATTTGGGCTGCCCAATATCGTACCCACTAGCCATGCATGGTTATTTGTTTAGATTTTTAAGTTATTTATTAAAGTTTTTTTTTTAATGTTTTATTTATTTCTGAGAGACACAGCATGAGCAGGGGAGGGTTAGAGAGAGAGAGAGACACAGAATCTGAAACAGGCTCCAAGCTCTGAGCTAGCTGTCAGCACAGAGTCCAACACGGGGCTTGAACCCACGATTCGTGATTTCATGACCTGAGCCGAAGTCAGATGCTTAATTGACTGAGCCACCCAGGCGCCCCTATTTATTTATTTTTAAAAGTAATCTTTACACCCAGCATGGGACTCAAACTTAAAACCGTAAGATCAGGAGTTGCATGCTTCCCTGACTGAACCAGCCAGGCGCCCCCATGCATGATTGTTGAGCTAGTGTGACTGAGGAACAGAATTTTTTTTTTTTTTTAATGTTTTATTTATTTCTAGGAGAGAGAGAGAGAGAGACAGCGTGAGCAGGGGAGGGTCAGACAGAGAGGGAGTCACAGACTGAAACAGGCTCCAGGCTCTGAGCTGGCAGTCAGCACAGAGCCCGACGCGGGGCCCAAACCCACGAACCGCGAGATCATGACCTAAGCGAAAGTCGGACGCTTAACCGACTAAGCCACCCAGGTGCCCCGGAACAGAATTTTTTTGTTTTTAAAAATTTTAGGGGTGCCTAGGAGGCTCAGTCAGTTAAGCGTCTGACTTGAGTTCAGGTCACGATCTCAGTTTGTGATTTCGAGCCCCGTGTCTGGCTCTGTGCTGACAGCTCAGAGCCTGGAGCCTGCTTCGGATTCTGTGTCTCCCTCCCTCTCTGCCCCTCCCACACTTGTGCTCTGTCTCTCAAAAATAAATGTTAAAAAAAATTTTAATTAGTTACTAATTGCTTCATTTTAATTAATTTCAGTTTATAAGTAACAAGTGACTAGCGTTACCAAATTGGACAGGACTAGTGGGAAAATAAAACTAAGTTACATAACAATGATACATCAAAGTGTAACTTTATAAATATTCATAGCAAATAATATCTTCTCTCTAAACATCCAGTCATTCATCAGGTTGTGCTGATTTTACTCCTTTAAATTTTTTTTTTTTAATGTTTTATTTATTTCTAGGAGAGATAGAGACAGCGTGAGCAGGAGAGGGTCAGAGAGAGAGGGAGTCACAGACTGAAACAGGCTCCAGGCTCTAAGCTGGCAGTCAGCACAGAGCCCGACGCGGGGCTCGAACCCACGAACCACGAGATCATGACTTAAGCGAAAGTTGGACGCTTAACCGACTAAGCCACCCAGGCGCCCCTGATTTTATAGGTCTCAATTTTTTTCTTCCTTATCACCCTTGCTATTGAGCCAGCACATCACTTTTTAGTATTTTATTTATTTTTCTTTTTATTCAGTTTATTTTATTTTAGAGAGAGAGAAGGAGAGGGGCAGAGGGAGAGAGAATCTTAAGCAGGCTTCTTGCTTAGCATGGAGCCTGACAACAGGGCTCAGTCCCACCCCACGGCCCTAAGATCATGATCTGAGCGGAAATCAAGAGTTGAACGCTCACCCAACTGCACATGGTTGCTGACTTTTTTTTTGAAGTAAGCTCTATGCTCAATGTGGGGCTTGAATGGGGATGATCAGGAGTCACTCACTCTATCAACTGAACCAGCCTGGCACCCCCAGCACATTAGTTTTAGAATCACTTTTTCCAGAAAGATATTGTAAGTCCTGACCACCACAGATTTGTGAGGAAGCACAGGTTTCTCTACATCAATCTCTGGCTGTTATCACACATCCAGCAGGCCTTTTCCTTGTGCAGGTGGTCACTGGCAGTTGTGGGGACCGTTGGAGAATTAGGACAGGGACAAGCTGCTCCAAGGTCAGCTGCCTCTATTGCAGCCCTGTCAGGCCACCTGCCTCAGAAGCTTCCCTGTTCCAGGCTTATTAGATTATACTCAGAACAGTTCATGTGTGGTTTCTTCCTGCCAGCGTGTGACTGCCCATATCTGTAACTCCTTAAAGGTTGAAATGTTCTCTTTTTTTTTTTAATCTTAGTTCAAACCCATCTTTCTGAACACTATTGACCCATCTCACCCTATGGCAAAGCTGAGCAGAGCTGCCAATACCCAGAAATGCATCCGGGCTGGGGGCAAACACAATGATCTGGACGATGTGGGCAAAGATGTCTATCATCACACCTTCTTTGAGATGTTGGGCTCCTGGTCTTTTGGAGATTATTTTAAGGTAAGCTCAAAAAGGAGATTGGTTTGGGGTTCTGAGCAAAATGGTCATTTCCACTGAAGGAAATTGGTTCTCATTTTGTTTGTTTTAAAGTATGAAATAACATCCAGGAGATTCAAGAGTGAAGGGCTTTTATTAATACTAAACCTTCCTGGAAGCAGTGCCTATCATTTGATTTCAATTTACATTGGATGTCTCCTATAAATTGATCCAGAATTTGGCTGGGTTTATAGTGAAGATGTTGTAGTTTTATATTTGTGTTCCTAGGATCTGGACTTTTCCTACTCATACTAAATGAATTTTGGTTTGGCCACGTGATACATCTTTCTTTTTGTTATTTTTGTAGGAATTGGCATGTAAGATGGCTCTGGAGCTTCTTACCCAAGAGTTTGGCATTCCAGTTGAAAGACTTTACGTTACTTACTTCGGTGGGGATGAAGCTGCCGGTTTAGAACCAGACCTGGAGTGCAAACAGATCTGGCAAAACTTAGGGTAAGAACGCATCTCACATGTTTTTTTGTTTTTTGTTTTTTGTTTTTTTAATATTTTTTATTTATTTCTAGGAGAGAGAGAGAGACAATGTGAGCAGGGGAGGGTCAGAGAGAGAGGGAGACACAGACCCTGAAATAGGCTCCAGGCTCTGAGCTGGCAGTCAGTACAGAGCCCGACGCGGGGCTCGAACCCACGAACTGCGAGATCATGACCTAAGCAAAAGTCGGACGCTTAACCAACTAAGCCACCCAGACGCCCCTCACATGTTGAGAGTTTGGAGTAATAAAGTGATTCCTAACTTGGTGCTAGGGTGAGGTCTTAGGTCTTGGAGTGCATTGCCTTTTCCACTTTGGGGCTGTGCAGTTTGAGGGGCAGAAGGGAGTGACTGGGAACATTTCTCCTTTGGTGCGTTCATCACTTCTTACTACGTTTACTTGATCATTCCAGTGTTCAAAGCTGATATAAAGAGTCTCTCATTGTTTTGCTTTTTATATATTTTTAGAAATTTTGCATATAGTGCATATGTTGTAAAAATTCACCCTACAGTACACACAAATGTGAAAAATAGAAAATAGAAAATTCTTAAGATTAATCAGTGTTAATAGTTTGATGCCCCGTGTATATAATCTTCCAGGCATTTTTTGGTATTTCTGTCACCCTGTGTATATGTATGTGTCTTTTTCAACACACTGGTATTCTTCATATGAAACAGGTTATTTCTTATGGAAATGGAATGGCATCAAACAGGTCGAGGACAAAGGAAGTTTTGGTTGTTTTTTTGTTTTGTTTTTTAAGTTTTTTTATTGATTTTGTGAGAGAGGGAGGGAGAGAGAAAGAATCCCAAGCAAGTTCTGAACCATCAGCTTGGAGCCCACTGTGGGGCTTGAATTCTTAACCTATGAGATCATGACCTGAGCGGAAGTCAGACACTTAACTGATTGAGTCACCCAGGTGCCTGGGTTTGTTTTTTTTTTGTTTTGGTTTTTTTCTTTATGAAAGCTGATGCAACAGATGAGCTGTGTGTATTCTGCACTTTGAACTTTCTTTTTAAGTGTTTTTTTAAATTTATTATTGAGACAGAGAGAAACAGAGCATGAGTGGGGGAGGGGCAGAGACGGAGGGAGACACAGAATCCGAAACAGGATCCAGGCTCTGAGCTGTCAGCACAGAGCCGATGCGGGGCTCAAACTCACAAACTGCAAGATTATGACCTGAGCTGAAGTCAGACACTTAACCGACTGAGCCAACCAGGCTTCCCTGCACTTTGAACTTAATAGGACTCATGAAGTGCAGCATCAAGAGGAATCTGAATGTGGGTTGACATACCCCTGTAGGTAGCTGGCTTGCCTATGTCTTTGTCTCATTTTCTTATTCTTTTTACTGTAAGTCTTAAAAAGAGGCATAGCTTTTTACCATACTTAGCCAGTGCTACTTCTCTGTTTCATTTATTTCATCATTTATTAATTACTTATACTCTCCATATATTATTCCAACCCAACTTCCCCTGGTACTTGATCTGAACCCCTGCTTGGTTAGATGCTATGTTCTAAATGTACTTGGGACATTTTGGCCAGTAAGGCATAGGAATGATGCATACTACTCTTGACTTCGGAGTCCTGTTTTGCTTGGCTTGTGTACATCCAGACTCTGCCTATCAAGCAAGCCTAGTCCTTTTTTTCTTTTAAGTAGGCTTCCTACCCAGTGTAGGGCTTGAACTCACGACCCTGAGATCGAGAGTCAGATGCTTAACCAACTGAGCCACTTGGGGACCCTTGCAAGCACAATCTTTTTTTTTTTTTTTTTTTAATTTTTTAAAATGTTTTATTTATTTCAGAGAGAGAGAGAGAGAGAGCGTGAGCAGGGGAGGGTCAGAGAGGGAAACACAGAATCTGAAGCAGGCTCCAGGCTCTGATCTGTCAGCACAGAGCCTGACGCAGGGCTCGAACCCACGAACTGTGAGATCATGACCGGAGCTGAAGTCAGACGCTCAACCAACTGAGCCACCCAGGCGCCCCAAGCACAGTCTTTTTGAGTGCACTCTTATCTAGCAGCTCTCAGCAGAATCCAATATTTTAGAAATATTTTGATCTTATTAAAGTCTTTTCGGTATCATTTTAAGGTAAAAAAATTTGACTACGTTGGGGCCTAGAGAAGTGACTTGAAATACTCAGCAGGTTTTTTTTTTGTTTTGTTTTTTCAGCAGGGTTTTAATGCTTACTTTAAAAATTTTTTTTAAAGATTTATTTTTTAGTTTTGAGAGAGAGCACAAACAGGAAAGGGGCACAGAGAGAGGGAGATACAGAATTTGAAGCAGGCCCCAGGCTCAGAGCTGTTAGCACAGAACCCAATGTGGGGCTCAAACCCACAAACTGAGATCATGACCTGAGCTGAAGTCAGATGCTTAACCAACTGAGCCACCCAGGTGCCCCGGGGTTTTAGTGCTTATAATAATTGTCATATAGGAAAGTCATTTCAGTTTTTAAAACGGGAACATTTGCAAAGAAAAGATTTGCTTAAATTCTGGTCATATTCAGCATAGATGTTTTCATTTTTATGTGTTCCTTTTTAGGCTTTATCCATATCTTTGCTTGTGTTTATATAGGTATTGATTGCAGTCTATGTGTATTTTGTATTCTATTTTAGTCCCTCTCGAGAAGAATTATCTTCTGCATCTTTTTTTTTTTTTTTTTTTTTTTTATATTTTTATTTATTTCTAGGAGAGAGAGAGAGACAGCATGAGCAGGGGAGGGTCAGAGAGAGAGGGAGACACAGACTCAGAAAAAGGCTCCAGACTCAGAACTGGCAGACAGCACAGAGCAAAACGAGGGGCAAGAACCCACGAACCAAGAGATCATGACCTAAGCAAAAGTCGGACGTTCAACCGACTAAGCCACCCAGGCGCCCCTATCTTCTGCATCTTTAACCCCTGCTGTGCAGGCTCAGCTTTAGTAATTGCCAGAGTGGGCCTTTTTTAATAGAAATGCATAAGGTCCTTTGGTGGTGGGTGCAAGTCTGGGCAGAATCCTTGACAGTGGCTGTAACTGGGTTTATTTTCCCTTCTCTGTGTAGTCTGGATGATTCCAAAATCCTGCCCGGCAACATGAAAGATAACTTCTGGGAGATGGGTGACACAGGCCCCTGTGGTCCCTGCAGTGAGATCCACTATGACCGGATTGGTGGTCGGGATGCTGCACACCTCGTCAACCAGGATGACCCCAATGTGCTGGAGATTTGGAACCTAGTGTTCATCCAGTATAACAGGTAGCCTCGGGGTCCTGGACTGCTTCTGCTAATAGCAGCACCTTTCCTAAAGCCAAGTAGAGAAAGAGGAACTCCTTCTGTTTTCTCATCCTCGTCTTTGGGGACAGTGGAGTGGAGCTATAGCAGGCACTAAGGGCATCAGGAGAGCCTGATGCCTTTATTTATTTATTTAGATTTTATTTCTCAGGCTTTTCCCTCTGATCTCTGAGACAGAGCTGAGACCTAATCTTTTATAAACTAGTTTTATTCCACATAGTACCTGCTTAATGTCTGCCTATTCCTGTAATGTCATTTGTGTGGTAATTTGCACTGCTGTGTTCAAGCTCATTTCCTTGAAGCTCGCCTCACTCTTTAATAGACCCCTGATTACTTCTTCCCTTTTCCCCTCCAGTCCCCTCCTCCCACCAAACCAGGCAGAGGCAAGTGGCAAATAGTCACAGCCTGCCATCTGTGCTTTATGTAAGTTTTAACCAGCAGGGAGGGGTGGCCCCCTGGAGTGCTTGTTTCAACTTCCTTTTTCTCTGGATCATGCAGGGAAACCGATGGCATTTTGAAACCTCTTCCCAAGAAAAGCATTGACACAGGAATGGGCCTGGAGCGACTGGTGTCTGTGCTGCAAAATAAGATGTCCAACTATGATACTGATCTTTTTGTTCCTTACTTTGAGGCCATTCAGAAGGTACTGGTCCTATTGAACTATTGCAGACTTCCTTGGAGGCTGGACTGTAAGGCTGGACAGTTAGCTATACTGCCAGAGAAAAATAATCATGTGCTTTGCCAGCTAAGGGTCCCTGTGACCACATGTCAACTTAATCATTAACCACCTGAGGCTCTAAGCACCAGGCGCTGTAGCTGGTTTAGTCCAAGGGCCTGGCTGGAGGCCCTTTACTCCCCTTGTCATCTTTCTTGGTGTTATAAGGTCTGGCAAAAGGGTCATCCTTTTTCTTAATGTCCTCTCAGAACCTTCTGGTACAAGGCAGTGCCAGAAGCGCTGCTTCCTCATGAGCTGCCTCCTCTTCTTATCTGTAGGGCACAGGTGCCCGGCCATACACTGGGAAGGTTGGTGCTGATGATGCCGATGGGATTGATATGGCCTATCGGGTGCTGGCTGACCATGCCCGGACCATCACCGTGGCACTGGCTGATGGTGGCCGACCTGACAACACAGGGCGAGGGTGAGTGAGTTACACATGCGGCAGGGTTAGGACTGCCACAGTGAGTTTGATGACTCCCTGTGAAACTGAAAGCCATACTTTATTATTGTTTTCTTTGTCTTTTCAGTAGTTGGAGAGATCCCTTAATTTTTTTTTTTTATGGATTAAGAGAGCTCCGGCTCAACGTTACAGAGCTGCCACTATATTAAATCTTTGTTGCTAAATACAAGATGTATTGAAAGATTGTATTTCAGGCCGTCTGATAAGATATTAGCAGGGTGGGATGGGGTAGATACTGATTCGCCCTGGACAACTTTATTATTGACAGGGAGGACTTAGGATTTTGGGCATCAAGCATCTGGCCTGTACTTGCCTCCCTTTCTGGGTCAGCAGGATGTGGTAGAAAAACAAACTGGGGTTACCCCAGGTCACCCTTAATGTATATTTGTGGGTGTATTCCTGAGTTTTCTGCTGGAATGTGTTAATGACCATGGGGGCATGCAAAAAGAAGCAGTCTTAGGATAAAAGAAAGTCTCTGAAAAAGAAAGACATAAAGGTGGTCAAGTTGCTTTGGGTAGGATTCCAAAAGCCCCATTACAAAACGCTTAGCTGGGAAGTTTGTCTAGAGGAGATGGGCTTCTGCCTCTTATAGGTATGTGTTGAGACGGATTCTCCGCCGGGCTGTTCGATATTCCCACGAGAAACTCAACGCCAGCAGGGGTTTCTTTGCCACATTAGTAGATGTTGTTGTCCAGTCATTGGTAGGTACATTTCCCTGCTTACCTCTTTTCTGCTAATGCACACAGCTTAGAGGGATGGGGTGAGAAATCGTATACTGCTAATGAGAATCTTTAGGGGGATCATGGAATGGTCCCTGTCTTTGTTGACCCCACATCTCTGTTTCCCCTTTGCCAGGGAGATGCATTTCCTGAGCTAAAGAAGGACCCAGATATGGTGAAGGACATCATTAATGAAGAGGAAGTGCAATTTCTCAAGACTCTTAGCAGAGGGCGTCGTATCTTGGACAGGAAAATTCAGAGCCTGGGAGACTGTAAAACCATTCCTGGTAAGGACCAGTTTGTTCCTCTCTTCATCCAGGCTGGTTCATCTTACCTGAAGAGGCAAGTCCTTTTTCACAAATGACAGTGGAGTCCTGTGTCTCCAAGGGCTGTGGATAGCTTGGTTATACTGCTTTTGGTATAAAATGGGGTTTACGTAAAAATTTAAAAGTATTATTGTGGCAAAGTATTTAAAGAACACAGAAGTGAAAAATGAAGATTCTTTTTCCTAAACTCATTTTCAGAAATAACAGTTCTTAAGAGTTGTAGAACTATTCAGAGCTCTTTTTTGTTTGCATACAAACGTATTTAGGGATGTGTGTGTTTTCCAGCAAAAATGGGAACATGTGGTATATACTGTTTTGCAGCTTGCGTTATGTTTTACTAGATTGGAAAATTAATTCAAAAAGCTTTATTTTTTTTTTTTAATTTTATTGTAGTGTAATGGACAAGGGGAAAGCCTGATGAATTTCTGCAAACTGAAGGCACTTGTGTTCAGATTAAGAAACAGAACTTTTTTTATTAGGAGACCTCTTGTGGTTTCTCCCTGTCAATTCTGAAAGATTTCATGGATTTTCTGACAAGTGCACAGAACCAATACTAACTTGCCTTGTCTCCAATTCTTCCGTCACTGCTAGCATCCTTTGAGAAAGGCTTGAGGTGGAAAAGGAGGAGGCTATGTCGGGGTTTTTTTTTTTTTATGTTTATTTATTTTAGAGATAGCGCGCATGCATGTGCACTCACCCACAGGGGAGGGGTTAGAGAGAGAGGGAGACAGAGAATCCCAAGCTGGCCCTATGCTGTTAGCACAGAGCCCTACTTGCGGCTCAGACTCACAAACTGCAAGATCTTGACCTGAGCCAAAATCAAAAGTTGAACGCTGAACCAACTGAGCTACCCAGGCGCCTCTGTCTGCATCATTCTTACACAATTTTTTGTGCTTTGCAGGGGATACTGCTTGGCTCCTCTATGACACGTATGGCTTTCCAGTGGATCTCACTGGACTGATTGCTGAAGAGAAGGGCCTGGTGGTAGATATGGATGGATTTGAAGAGGAGAGGAAACTGGCCCAGGTAAAGAATTTGAGGAATGAGCAAGAAACCCAGCACCAAACAAGGCAGGACTTGGCTGCAAAGCAAACAAGATTCCTTCTATTAAGATCTTTGAAAGTCTGTTTTTCCCCCAAGACCAATGTGTATCACGTAGGGACTGTTTGGTAGTAATGTATGAAGACGTTTTTTGGTTTTCTTAACTGAGGGTAGGATGCTACCAGTGTCAAGTGGGCAGAGGTCAAGGATACTGCTCAACATCTTACAGTGGACAGCCCCCCAGAACAGAGAATTAACCTGGCTCCAAGTGTCGGTAGTGCCGAGATTGAAAAAACTCTGTTCTGGAGCTTTATATTCGGCATAGTTTAGTGACTTTTGAGGCCTTCAGAATTCATTTTCTCCACATTAGGTTAACTTCTGTTTCTTTCTCTTCCTGGTAGCTAAAATCACAGGGCAAGGGAGCTGGTGGGGAAGACCTCATTATGCTGGACATTTATGCTATTGAAGAGCTCAGGGAGAAGGGTCTGGAAGCAACAGACGATTCCCCGAAGTATAATTACCATTCGGATTCCAGTGGGAGCTATGGTATGTTACTGTGCTTACTGTGCTCACCTCGGGTAGCTTTTGAGAGATGAGTCCCCAGATTAGGAACCAAGGATACCTATTGTGGCCTCTCCAGTCATGCTGTGTAGTCTTGTTCTGTGAGTTATACTCCTAGGGCCCCCTTGGTGATTAATTTTCTAACTCTTTATTTTGGAATAGTTATAGATTCATAGGGAGTTGTGAAAACATTTACAGGGACATTTCTTGTCCCCTTTACTGAGTTTCCCCTAATTGTAACACCCTGCAGAAAACCAGGAAATGGCCATTGATAGAATCTTCAGTGGCTATTGAATTTTGCATCTGGATAGTGGCATTCCAAAGTTAAGAATCAAAAGAAATAAACAGGCAATACATGGTTTTGCTTTTTTACTCCAGCAGAGATACCTAAAATCTATCCCAGCAAGCCCACAAAATGAATACATTCTTTGTGAATTGACCTTGGTGGGAGGAGGGGATTTATTATACTCCTAAATACTTATCAGACTCACTACGTTTCTTGCTCAGTAGCTCAGAGTTAGAGTGACCAGAACTGTCCAAAGTTTTACCTGGGAAACCCCTCGGTCCCGGTTACCCATTCCCTGTGACAGTTGGTCACTCTACTGAGTGTGACATTCCCTGGTGTGAAGCCCTTTTGTGGAGTCTAATGGGCTTGCTTGTAAAATGAAATTAGACAATTAGGATCTAAGGAGAACTTGAGAAATAAAATCAAACAAAAGCCAGCTAAGAGCGTGTGAATGAAATCATTGACCCTGTTTTCCCCCTTCTGCAGCATTTGAGAGCGCAGTGGCTACAGTGATGGCTCTGCGCAGGGACAAGATGTTCGTGGAAGAAGTGTCCACAGGCCAGGAGTGTGGAGTGGTGCTGGACAAGACCTGTTTCTATGCTGAGCAAGGAGGGCAGATCTATGACGAAGGCTACCTGGTGAAGGTTGAAGACAGCAGCGAAGACGTGAGCCAACAGTTCTTCCTTGTCAGCCGGGGAGGGGGATCCAACAGAGGGCTGGGCCTGGACGCAGTGTTGCTTTTTTGGCTCCTCATACTCCTGGCATTGTGGAGCAGACGTGACCAGTCTTCGGGTTGCGGTCCATTGTCAAGGTCTCTGAAGCCAAGGAAGCTGCCTTTCGTATCACTGATTTCATTGCCATTAGGTCCCCTCTTAGCAGGATCCCTGCAGTTAGGCTGCATTGGTTGATCCTGGGTTCCTCCCCACTTTCCTCATGAATAAGAAGAGGGCAAACATCTTGCAGAAGCCTCGGCCTCTAGCTCTGCCAGTGCAGACTCTGCGATCTTGGATGAGTTTCCTAGTCTCAATGGGCTTGAGGTTCTTTTTTTTTTTTTTTTTTTTTAATATTTTTATTTCTAGGAGAGAGAGAGAGAGAGACAGCGTGAGCAGGGGAGGGCCAGAGAGAGAGGGAGACACAGACTCCGAAACAGGCTCCAGGCTCTGAGCTGGCAGTCAGCACAGAGCCTGACGCGGGGCTCGAACCTACGAACCGCGAGATCATGACCTAAGCGAAAGTCGGATGCTTAACCAACTAAGCCACCCAGGTGCCCCGGGCTTGAGGTTCTTTATGATGGCTTTAAGTTTTCTAAGATGCACCTAAAGGGAACGTCTGTATATCTGTGAACATATATGCGTATGTACGTATGCATACAAAGTGGTCTGTATATTTAATGGTAAATATAGGTATCGTTAAACCTCAAAAACAAAATCATCATTTTACCAGGAAAAGTGAGTTTACAGGGGACTAGCAGAGAATTGCAATTTAGGACATGCATGCTATGGCAAAACCATAGGCAAGTCCAACAAAGAAGAGGAACTGATATTTTATAGACAAGGAGGAGGAGGAAGTTGAGAGCGGTTGTTTTAAAGGAAAGTGCATGGGAGAAAATCACAAGTTTGTGGTGATGATGGTTTCTCATTGGCAGAGTTGCAGGGGTAGTTGATCTCTTATAGATGCAGTGTGCATCTTTCCTTGTTAGGGCCTGTCATGGATGGTTCCTTCCTGTCAAGGATACCGTTTGGGCCTGTAATTGACAATCCTTTCTGAAATTGATTACCGCTCCTGTTCTAGCTCCCCCTCCTCGCTCCCTGGCTCCACTTTAGTGAGGTTTCTCTTTATTAATTTTTAGTGTATAATAGTATGTGTATATATGTACAATAAATATAATGGTATTAGTGTTATGACACATGTATGATGGTATATACACACTAGTAAGGAGAGTCTTAAAGAATGTGTATCATGTACCATATATAAAAAGAGAATATATAAGATTTGGATTTATTTACATACTGGTCTCCTGGATTCCTTTTAGAAAACGGAGTTTACAGTGAAAAATACTCAGGTGCGAGGAGGGTATGTGCTGCACATAGGGACCATCTACGGCAGCCTGAGAGTAGGGGACCAGGTCTGGCTATTTATTGACGAGGTGAGTTGTGTTACGCTGGTGGGCATTGGACCTGATTAGTAATCCTATTTTTTTTTTAATTTAAATTTTATTGAGGTACAGTTAACATCTAAAATTCTAAGATATTTAAAATGTATGTCATGGTGATTTGATACACATTATGAAAAGCATTCATCTCCTTTGGCTTTAAATTGGTCCATCATTATTGTCACTCCTAAGTGAAATTGTAAGTAGATTATTATAAATCCAATGCAGAAGTATATTTTATGAGGAGTGCAGCAGCAAGTTATTAAATGTCTATGTTCCCGAGTCAGGTGACAGTGATTTTTATTGTGTTTATTTTTTATTCTAGAGACAGAGAGGGAAAGCATGCATGAGGAGGGGAGATGGACAGAGAATCTTAAGCAGGCTTCATGCTCAGTGCAGAGCCCATTGTGGGACTCGATCCCTTGACCCTCGGATCATGACCTGAGCTAAAATCAAGAGTCAGATGCTTAGCTGACCCACCCAGGCACCCCTTATTTTATTTATTTTAATTTTATATATTTATTCTAAGTAATCTCTATACCCAGCATGGGGCTTGAACTCCCAGTCCTGAGATCAAGAGTTGAATGCTCTTCTGACTGAGCCAGTCAGGTGTCCCAGATGATAGTGATTTTAGTTGAGATTTATAGACTTGTTTCATGGATTGCCTTTTTTAGATTAACCTCAAACACTTCTTCAGGATCCTGACATCCTGTATTAACTAGGAAAGAGGGTTTTGTTCATGTGACAGAGCTCCAAGATAACAGATTAAAATTAGATAGAAACGTGTTTCTTACCTCCAAGTCCAAGCTGACATAGAGGCTCTGCCCCACAGAATCCTAGAGCCCAACTATTCCTTGCTTGTTTTTCTTTCATCATTCCTGGGATGCTGCTCTTGATTTCATAGTCTAAGCAGGTAGCCACTGGATCCATTTCCAGGCCAGGAGTTGGCAAATTTTTTTGTAAAGTTCCAGATAGTAAGTAACTTTGGTTTTGTGAGCTATATATGGTCTCCCTCACAACTGCTTACTTCTGACGATGTAGCATAAAAGCACCATAGACAATATGTAAACACGAGGGTGTGGCTGTGTTCCAATAAACCTATTTATAAAAATGGACAATAGGCTGGATTTGGCCCACATGCCATAATTTGCCAACTCTTGTTCTAGACAGTGAGAAAGAGCAAGGGGAGGGCATGTTTCTTCCCTTTAAGGATGTGCATCGTAACTTCTTACAACCCTTGTGGCCACAATTAGCTGCAAGGGAAGCTGGGAAATGTAGCCCTTATTCTGGGCAGTTATGTGTCCAACTAAAAATTTGAGCAGCCGGGAAGGAGAGAGCAGGTTTGACTAGTACACCTCTCCACCAGCTGCCTCTGTCCTTCACAGCCCCGACGGAGGCCCATCATGAGCAACCACACAGCTACTCACATCCTGAACTTCGCCCTGCGCTCTGTGCTCGGGGAAGCTGACCAGAGAGGCTCCCTTGTTGCTCCTGACCGCCTTCGGTTTGACTTCACTGCCAAAGGAGCCATGTCCACCCAGCAGATCAAGAAGGCTGAAGAGATTGCTAATGGGATGATTGAGGCAGCCAAGGTAGGTGTGTGTAAGCTCTTGGGTCACGAGCCTCGCTTCTTTCTGCATCATCACTCTCTCTGGAGGCTTCTCAGCAGTCCAGATGCCCTTCCTCTATTGTACCATACCCTGCCAAGCACACAGATTTGTTTGAAGCAGTGATTCTCAATCACACTGGGTGTAGGGGCAGTGGTGGTATCCTGGGGAGGGGGCCATAGGGCCCCTGGGAAGGGGGCAAAGGGAGGTCTTTGCTCCACCCCACCCTGGGACCATCAGAGCTCTTCTGGTTTTGTCTGCTTCACATGTAGTATATCCGTATAAGATTTGGTGCACAGTTTAGCCAAATAATTGGAAATTCCTGTTTTGATCCCCTTGACTTTACACGTGGTGCTTTGTATCAGCAGACTCAGGGCACATGATGGGCAGAGCCAGGATCAGACACCCAGAGTCCTGCCTGCAAGACCACAAGACCACGCTTTCCCTGCCGCATCTCCAGAGAAGATGTTTTCTCAGCTTTTTTCTGTCTTCTTTCCATGGCAGCCCGTCTACACCCAAGATTGTCCCCTGGCAGCAGCTAAAGCCATCCAGGGCCTGCGGGCTGTGTTTGATGAAACCTATCCTGACCCTGTGCGAGTCGTCTCCATTGGGGTCCCAGTGTCCGAGCTGTTGGATGACCCCTCTGGTCCTGCTGGCTCACTCACTTCTGTTGAGTTCTGTGGGGGAACGTGAGTACCTCAGGGGGAGTGGTGGATGGACTCACTTTTGGTTAATTTGGTGCTACCCTTGGAGGATGTGGGTAAATGGGCTAGAGTCTTATTTTTCTGAGGTTAAAATGAAGTTCTCAGAAATGTATTTGCCAAACAGCCTTCCCAAGAACCTTAGCATCCTGTGTTCCTGTCAACCCCCTTGGTGTCTGACATTGACATTTGCTGGGTTTGTGATGAAGTATTTTTCCTAGGATGGGAAAAAGCATTATCTTAACACTTATAGGTGCTTGCTCTGGTGTCCTGGGCTGATCCTGATAATGTGGCCTGTGAATTCAGGATTCAAGAAGGTTGTGGAGCGATCACTGCGTTCCTGACCTGGTCCTAGCTCTTCTCCACTCCTGGGCCTTCACTTAGCTTCCTTTACCAGCTTGAGCAGCATTTGGGGATTTACCCCATTGTCTCAGGGCCCCTGAGTCAGGTGCCACAGCATACCCAGCTCAGGTTGGCTTGCGAGAGCCACTTGTTTCTTCCAACTTGCAGCCCTCTGTAGCCCTTGGGGTCATTTTGGGATGGTGTGGCGGCCTGGGAAGCTCCTGCTTCCAAGGGAATCTTGTTGAGAAGAGCATTCTTAAGGGCATGGTGGAGCCCATCCCGGCCTCCTGTGAGCCTCTGGCAGGTAGGGAACAGGTGAGCATGTGGAGGATGGGATAGGAATCTGGGACACCACATGGCTCCCTCCTCTGCCCAGCTGAATCGGGCCTTCAGATGATTCCTACCCTGCTTTAATGCCTCCTGAGACACTCTTTAGGGCACAGAAAACTGCGGGCAAAGCCTTTATACCACTCTCTCAGAATGACTGAAAGTTCATGAGCTCAGAGTGTGAAGTTCTCTGGGCAGCTGGGGAGTAAAACCTATTTACAGGGTTGTGGTGAGATTTTAAAGGTAATCCTCCAGTATTCTTAGCTGGTAGCAGGGAGAGAATATAGTTTTTGTTTCAAAGAGGACCAAAAACATGAATGAATGTAGAGCCTGCCAGTAGTAACATTGTGTTGGGTTTGAGGGATTACAAAGCACTTTTGTCTGATCTCCTTTGATTTCACTGTAGTCCTGTGAGGGAGAATTATACCCCATTTTATTTTATGTATTTTTAAAAAATGTTTATTTTTGAGAAAGAGTACGAGCAGGGGAGGAACAGAGAGAGAGGGAGATGGAAGACTTGAAGCGGGCTCTGTGTGGACAGCAAAGAGCCTAGTGTGGGGCTTGAACTCACGAACTTGTGAGATCATGACCTGAGCTGAAGTTGGACGCTTAACTGACTGAGCCACTCAGGAGCCCCAGAATTATCCCCATTTTATACATGAGAAAACTGAAGCTCAGAAAGGTGGTGTCTTATTCAGTGTCAGAGTGCTCTTAGCCCCAGACTTTCCTGGGCTTCCTGGCCTGAGCCATACCCTGAAGTCACCTTGAAGGGCCTCTTCCCACTGTCCCCTTGAGGAGGTTCCCTGGGACCTGAAAGACCTTAGGCCCTCACCAATCAGGCTCCCAGATGTGGTAGGGACTGGGGTGTGTGGGCTTTCTTGTCACCACGGACTTCATGTTCTGCCTTTTAGGCACCTGCAGAATTCAGGTCACGCGGGAGCTTTTGTGATTGTGAGTGAAGAAGCTATTGCCAAGGGCATCCGGAGGATTGTTGCCGTCACAGGTGCTGAAGCCCAGAAGGTGAGCCCATTAGGCTGGTTCATGGCTTATTTGAACAAGGCAGGAGGAGCCCAGTCTATGAATTAGGCAGCCGGTTATGTAGCTGCCGCATTCTGAATTGGAAGTACAGTGCTACCCCCCAAATGTCCTCTGGTTACTCCTAGCTAGTGGATAAAAGCCACCACCACACACGACTTTAACTTAGCTATGTTGTGTTTAATCTTGAAAAATACATGTAAATTCTGTTATTTGCTCCATAGCATATCTGTCTCTAGAAGGGTAAATCATGATTTTGCTATGGCTTCCAGTGCCCCCACCCACTTATTGCCATCTCCCTAGGGGTACATGCTTGGTTTGAGATGCACAGTGTACAGGGATAGTGGCCCTGGGGGTGGGGCTGTAGCTGGTGCCTGACGTGTGCTGAAGCTTGAGGATTGATCATTTCGTGGGGATGAGAAGAGCTCCTACCTCAGTAGTTCTTGTTTATCTCCTGAGCGAGTCAGTGCAACTTTCTACTGGTCAGACATGTGAGAAGGGTGCTGCCGACACTTGCTCCTTGAAGGTAGAGAAACTTCTGGTGTCCTGGGGGTGTGTTGGTCCATAGCCTGCCATCAGTTGCCACAGCTCTTTCCAGACGAGTGAAGCTGAAAGTTACCTGACCGGGAGTTTCCAACTCTGATTGTCCCTCTGCAGGCCCTCAGGAAAGCAGAAAGCTTGAAGAAATCTCTCTCTGTTATGGAGGCCAAAGTGAAGGCCCAGACTGCGCCAAATAAGGATGTGCAGAGGGAGATCGCTGACCTTGGTGAGGTAAGGGCGGCCTCCATCCTCAGGCCCTGGTCAGTGCCAAGTGCTAGCCAGCCAAATAGGACACTCCCCAAGGAACTCTCAGATCCCCTGGTTCTCCGTGCAGTGGCCCTTGAACTTACCTTCTCTTACCTGGCAGCCTCGCAAAGGGGACTCTGTGGGTCCTGGTCTACGGACCTCTGGCATCTGCTTGCTGCCCCCACGGCCGATGGCAGAGCCTGTTTCAAGCACGAGTGGGCGCCAGTGTTGAGGGAGTTGGTACCCACTGTTTCCAGGGCTCTTGATGTCTGTTAATATGTGGGGGCTTCCTGTGAGCCCATTACAAGCTGTATTCACTAGTTGGTAGGGACCAGCACTTATAGGGGATCCCAGCCCTCTTTATCTGTCCCTTTCTCTTTTGCCCCACTTGTTACATCTGCTGTACTTGCTTGTAAAGTGACTGGTTTTAAGGCTAGTGGATACCTTTTTGTTCTTTGTTTTCACTTTCCTGGATATTAGTCAGGGAAGACTTTGGTGTTGAAAGACAGAAGGGCAAGGTGGACTCGGGCCTCACATCCTAGTGGTCCAGATCCCCGTGGTGTTCTGGTTCCAGGCCCTGGCCACTGCAGTCATCCCCCAGTGGCAGAAGGACGAATTCCGGGAGAGCCTCAAATCCCTGAAGAAGATCATGGATGACCTGGACCGGGCTAGCAAAGCCGATGTCCAGAAGCGAGTGAGTCCTGTGGTGCTGGTGACTGGAAGGGAGCCTGGAGGATCCACCCAGCAAAGACCGTGCAGACCGCTCCCTGGGCCTTTGACCTGAGGGCTCTCTTCTGGATTTCCTTGCAGGTGTTGGAGAAGACAAAGCAGCTCATTGACAGCAACCCCAACCAACCCCTCGTCATCCTGGAGATGGAGAGCGGCGCCTCGGCCAAGGCAACCCAGGGGCTGGGACTGCATGTGCTGCCCTGTGCCTGTCCACTACTTGTCTCCTCTCGGGGTCTCAGCCCTCTCGTGGCTGGACTGTGAGCTTTGTGGCTCTGAGTGGAGTGGTTGCTTGAGAGCCCGCTCTCTGGGATTGAGGTTAGGCTGAGCCACGGAGAGACCTGGTGGCTGTGGAGCTACAGCTCCTAGAGATGGAAGGCAAACCTCAGGGCCAGAGGTGTGGGGAGGGCCTCGGGCTTGGGGCCTTCTCCGCCAGTCTCCCGGAACCAGCACCTGCTCTTAGAGGGAGTGGGCAGTAGAGGGTGCTCTGAAAACTGAGCTCTGCAGGCTTACCATGGAGAGCATGGCTCCCCTTCCCGAGGCCATGGCCTGACCGCAGGTTTCCCCACAGGCCCTGAATGAAGCCTTGAAGCTCTTCAAGACGCATTCCCCTCAGACATCTGCCATGCTCTTCACGGTGGATAATGAAGCCGGCAAGATCACGTGCTTGTGTCAAGTCCCCCAGGTCAGCATACCCTGCAGCCCTGTGCTGCCTGCGGTGGTGTTTGTAGCTTTTCTGAGGAAGCTTGCTGCTTAGAGTTGTTTGCCAAGACCCGTATGTATGGGTGCAACCAGTTAGAAACGGCCATTCTCCTGGCCACCTGTTTGTCACTTCCTCCAGCACCCTTACCGTCAGGCCTTGTCCTTGAGGGTGTGTTTAACCATGCTGATACCCGGCTTTGCGCTCCGCATGTCTCACCCTGGCTGTGGATCGGTCTCTGCCGGTAGCAGCACCCAGGCAGGTGGGAGTGGGTGTCTGTGGCTCCCCCGTCCTTTTTATTTTCTTCCCTTCTCCATGTCTCCCTCAGTCTCATCCTCTGTCCTGACTCCCACTTTTCCTTTCTGTCTTCCAGAATGCAGCCAACCGGGGCCTGAAAGCCAGCGAGTGGGTGCAGCAGGTGTCAGGCCTGATGGATGGCAAGGGTGGTGGCAAAGATGTGTCTGCTCAGGCCACAGGCAAGAATGTGGGCTGCCTGCAGGAGGCACTGCAACTGGCCACTTCCTTTGCCCAGCTCCGCCTGGGAGATGTGAAGAACTGACGGGCAGGGGCAGCCTCCCCTGGGAAGCATCCTCTCCTCACCCGATGCATCCGTCCAGCCAGCTCTCCATCTGCCACGAGGACATTTGAATCTGCCCTCCTAACCCAGCAATAACTGGAACTCACCTGGGAGCTGGCCTGTGACTCAATGGCCACATCACATTTCTGCCCTGAGCCCTACACACCAGCGCCGTCTGTCTAAAACCATTACCCCAGGATTGCTATTTATCATTGTCATGCTCGTGTCTGTAGACAAGGTTCTTTGCCGGCCTGAGGTTTTGGGTCTACAGGGAGGAATCATTTTTGCTGCAGAGAATAAAAGGACCATGTGCAATAGTGGATGATGCCATGTGATCTCTTAACCCCCACCCCTAGAGGGGGCCCCCTGTGTAACAGCCTTTGGCTCCCTGGGTATCTGTAGAATAAATGCTGTGCCTCCACCTGTCTTCTGGTTATGGTCCTCACTGAGTACAGCTCCAGAACCCTGAACTTTTGGAATGGCCTCTGGGATTACCTGGAGACATTTATGGAGGTGGCCCATAGAATGGGGGGTTGGGAGAGTGAGATGGTGAGATGGAAAAAGGCAGTAATCATTCAGTAAAAGATGGGCATGGGGTTACTGGAAGCAGTTCATAGGAGAAGCTCTCCATTTCTTAGGCCTGTGTCCCTCCCTTTTGATGCCGAGTCATTGGGTGTGAGATCAGAGGTGTTCTCTGCTGTAGGAGGTATTTAGGGTGCCTCAGTTGCCTACCACCACCTCTTTGACCCATCATTCTTGGTTTCCTGACCCAAAGATGGACAGTGAGGACTGGGACCTGCCCTGGTCCTGAATCTGTTCACTCAGGTCTGAGGATAGCTGGGTTTGGAAAGTGTCCGGGGGAGGTTATAGGTACTGTTTGCTTGTGCTGGCTCTGGCTGATTCCATGTCCCTGGGGTACAACAGGTGGCCCTGGGGCCCAGGTTCACTCTCAGTCTTGCTGATGCAGGAGGAGGAGGGAGGCAGGCCTATGCTGGGAGAAGAAGCGGAGGCTAGCTGTCACCGCCTGGGGGCAAGAGGCTCTCCTAGCTTGGAGTGTGAGAGAAGCACACCGTGGGAGGGTGCAGAGGACCTGGCTTCAACAAGCCAGTGCCTGGTGAGTACCCCTAGGGATATAGAGTTTACACAGTCTAGTGCAGGATTCATCAACAAGCTTTATTCCAGCCAGGGCACTGAAGATGGCAGGAATGGCCAAGACAAGGGGAAGAATCATTTTTGGGCAAGACTGTGGGGAACGCGTGTGAGATAGTCACACAAATAAGCACAAAATTAAAATACAACTTTCACAAGTGAAAGGACGAAGACGTACGCCCTGGCCCTAGAGGCTATAGGTCAGCCAGGCCAGCTCAGGTCCCACTTCTGTAGGCCCTCCCGGTCTGTGCCATCTATTTATTCAAGTTCCAGGTGTCCTGCTGCGGTCCCCAGGCGCTGCTGCGCTCGCTATTCTCCCTCCAGGACGGCAGGGGGCGAGGGCGTGCCGCCCGCTACTATCCCGACAGCCCCCGCGCGGGCGCGAGGCTTTAAGCGGGCGGAAGACCTCTCGCGCGACGCCGGGTCGGCGGGCGGAAGTGGCTCGCACGCCAGGCACCGCCATGCCTGGGGACCACCGCCGCATCCGAGGGCCGGAGGAATCGCAGCCACCGCAACTGTACGCGGCCGATGAAGAGGAGCCCCCCGCCGCCCGCGACCCGACGCGGCTGCGGCCCGTGTACGCGCGCGCCGGGCTGCTGAGCCAGGCCAAGGGCTCGGCCTACCTGGAGGCGGGAGGCACCAAGGTGCTGTGCGCCGTGTCCGGCCCGCGCCAGGCCGAGGGGGGCGACCGCGGCGGCGGCCCAGCCGGGGCGGGCGGCGAGGCCCCGGCCGCGCTGCGGGGCCGTCTGCTCTGCGACTTCCGCCGCGCGCCCTTCGCCGGCCGCCGGCGACGCGCGCCCCCGGGCGGCGGGGAGGAGCGAGAGCTGGCGCTGGCCCTGCAGGAGGCGCTCGAGCCGGCAGTGCGCCTGGGCCGCTACCCGCGCGCGCAGCTCGAGGTGTCAGCGCTGCTGCTGGAGGACGGTGGGTCCGCGCTGGCCGCCGCGCTCACGGCCGCCGCTCTCGCCCTGGCCGACGCGGGGGTCGAGATGTACGACCTGGTGGTGGGCTGCGGCCTGAGCTGCACGCCGGAGCCGGCGCCCACCTGGCTGCTGGACCCCACGCGACTCGAGGAGGAGCACGCCGCCGCCGGCCTCACCGTGGCGCTCATGCCCGTGCTCAACCAGGTGGCCGGGCTGCTGGGCAGCGGGGAGGGCGGCCCGACCGAGAGCTGGGCCGAGGCAGTGCGTCTGGGCCTCGAGGGCTGCCAGCGCCTCTATCCCGTACTGCAGCAGTGCTTGGTGCGGGCTGCCCGGCGGAGGAGCGCCGCCTCGCCGTCCTGAACCAGAAGCCTGAGCCACGACGGACGCCCAGGACCGAGCTGCCGCCGTCCCTTAAAAGGACCTGTGCCGTCAGTTTCCAGACTGCGCCAAGCTGAGAACTCCGAGGGCCAGAGAGGATCTGAGGAGGTGTGCACAGACCTGATGCACTGGACAGCCGTGTTGGAACGATTTCATTAAAGAAACTTTTCTACTTGAGCCGGTGCCTCGTTGGAAGAGACTTCAGCTGGCCTGGCCTGGAAAACGCGGCTTGGAGCTAATGTCTTGTAAGGGATGAACCCCTTTTATAGAATTGGACTGCTTTTGAGAACATGGACAAGGGGGCTGTGCCTTCCCGTTTATATCTGAGCTAAAACAAATACCTTTATATCTGAAAAAGTCTTCTATTGTGTTTCTTGTCAGTGGTGGATTTAAAGGAGCAATGCTTTTCTGAGCCGCGTAGTGTGTTCTTGGGCCCCTGGTGTCAGGGGCTTGGGACAGCATTGTTAGATGTCCTGTTCCTTAGAGCAATATAAGCGGAAGAGACCGCTTGAAAGTGAAGGAGGTGCGGGAGTTGGTGTGGGGAAATGTGCTTTAAAGGAGGAGAAGCTGCCCCTTGAGTATCAGAGCGGCCACTGCTGAGGTGTGGCATGAGTAGGGAAGGTTGCGTGGCCCCAGGAGCACTCTGGGTGCACTTGCTGGCCTCTGGTTTGGTGCTGGGCAAACCACAGCTCAGGGCTGCATAGCTGGAAGGACTTTGGCCCTGGGTGGAAGCCAGATCCTCTCCTTCCTTGGCCATGTGCAGAGGCCTCCTGCACTGCTGGTAAGAAGTAGGGGTCGGGGCTGGCTTTGTTATCGTCCAGTCTTGGCTCCTGGGAGACAGCAGATAAACTGCCAGGAATAAGAGCTTCTGGATCTTGGGGACCAGATACAGCCTGGCATATGGCAGAGCTGGCCTAGCAGAGCGACCACGAGTGTCATCTTCCTCTGTGGCTTCTGAGCCCCGTGGGTTTGTGCTCAGGTGTGAATTGGAAGAAGGCAGGGCATCCTGGTCCCCTCTCTGTGCTCTGGCTTAGCAGGAGCTTCTGAGCGTGTGTCTCGAGCCTGCTCAGCTTCTGGAAGACCTGACCTGAGGCAGCCCAAGGACCAGAATGAAGCTTGGAGACCATACCAAGAACCCCTGACCAGGGAAAAGAAATACAAATTTTATTTTCCCCTTTGACATTAAAGCATTTCTAGAGCAAGTTTGAAATACATAATATCTTACCAGTGAGAGAGAAGATAGAAACAGGACATTTTTACTCCTGTTCTGAATGAGGGCTTTATAGGGTGGGTGGGGAGTCAGGAACCAAAGGGGGTTATGTGGGACACACACCAAGGAGCGTAAAGCTGTTTCAGACCGGAAGGGGACTGTAGAACATGAGTGTATTTCCTGTGCACCACTGGAGCTGGGAAAGCGGGACCGACAGCCGTGGGACGCTCCACACTCAACTGGCAGGGCCTGGCGAGGGGAGAAGAGCAGGCAAAGCAGTGCCTGCGGTCAGAGGGGGCGGATGTGCTTCCAAGGTGGGGGGCGGGGGGGGGGCTGTTCAGCCGCCCCTTGCAAGACTGGGCCTCCTTCATGAGGATGGTGAGCATGTGCTAGGCATTTGCAGGCCTCCCTCTCAGCCCCCAGACTATCTGGAAACATGGCCTCCAAAGCAAAAGCAGCCATTATGGAGAGACTTCCCGGCTGGTGTGGCTGAGCCACGCCTCCACTTCATTGCCCTCATTCCAGAATGCGTGCTTCTGGTTGCACAGGTGCACCAGGAGGCCTTCCAAAACCCACACGAGGTAAGGAAGGGAGCCGCCTGGGAAGGAGCTGGGAGGGATTCCACTCTTCTACTGGCTGCTCTCCTGGTCCGACATGTGATTCTTCACCTGTAGAAAAACAGAAGCAGGATTCTGGCCAGGAGGGCTGAGAGGCATGGGGTGGCTGGGAAAGGGAGGTGTTTGCTAACATCTCCCCTCACCCCCATGTCCCTTTCTGGGCAGCTTGGGCAGCTCAGTGCTCCTCGAGATTCTTCTCGAGGCCTGGGAACCCAGAACCACTAGACAAAGCATTCCCTTCATCTAGCCCAGTCTTCCCAGATGTGACTCAGGCCTGGGCAACAGTAAGGGCCTCAAGAGCCCAGCAGTGGGAGGGGCAAAGCTGGGCAGGTGGAGGAAGGGAAGTTCTTTAATGCCGGCTCCCCCCACCCCCATCCTGAGCCCTGTTGAGCCCTGTTGAGACGACCAAACAAACTTGAGGGCCTGGCCTACCTCAGGGACTACCAATAAGGGAGGAGGATATGGAAGGTCGGGGAACATCTGGGCCCTTTAATGCTGCACAAAGAGCTCTCATCAGAGCAGGTTTGGGTGTTCTCTGGCTAGGAAGGTGCATGTGCCACAGCTTCCCCAGGGAGGATGGTGCAATATAAGACACGGGGGCAGAGGCAGGGAAAAGGCAGAAATTGGTTTTAACAAGCTTGCCAGGTGGTTCTCAGGCAAGGGGTATGGGGACATGAGGCATGGCTGTGACATTCTGCGGTCCTCAAAGCCCACCTCCCAGCTTCCTGAGGAAGATGGTATTTCAGCCCAGAACTGGCCCAGCTGCCCGGCTGTGGCCCCTAGTCCTGCTGAACTCCACAAGCCTAAGTTGAGAGGGGAGAAAAAGCAGTGCAGGGCCCATCTTCTGGGTCCCACATGTGGTAGAAGTCATACGTCTCCCCTCAACCACCACTGTGGGCTCCTGCACAAACCCGCATCTCTCCCTTGTTCGCAGGGAGGCCACAAGACTCAAATGCAAGGAGGGTGAGGATGAGGGGAGGTGCCAGGCCACTCACTGCTTCCTCTGGGTCTGTGCTGTCCTCAGGGCTGTCTGCTTCTGGATGGGCCCTCTGGCCCCTGGCGTCCTGCTTGGCTTCAGTGATTCTGCATGAGGAACTCTTGCTCACCGGGGCCCTGTTTTCTTCACTGGCCTCTGACCCTGTGCAGGGACAGTCGCCAGTTAGTGGCCACGTTTGGAGGTCCCGGCTCATCTCAGAGGGGCTGCTTGGCACCCGACACTGATCTAGATTGCCTAGGGCTTGAGAGAACAAGATGGGGATGGGCTGGGACACTGCTTTGTCCCAGACAGCTGCTGAGTTTTGGGGGGGAAGGTCCTAGAACAACCTTGAAGCCATAGGGTCTTCAAGCTATGGGGACAACCAGAGGGAGTGGGGGAAAGTAGACCCTGGGGAGGGGAGGAAGGAGACCTGCAGATAGAAAGCGAGACCCCAGGTGCCAGGCCCCTGACACCTTCAGCAGTGGGGAAAGCAGGAGCTCACTTAGAGTGTGGCCTGGGTCCCCAGTTGGAGGTCCTTGACCTGGAAGCTGGTCCCTCTGCTGGTCCATGCGCTCCAGATTCTCCAATAGACGGTCCACCTGGGCTTTGATCTGGTTTAGCTCCCTCCTGATGGAGTACAGCTCCTCGCTGTGGACTGTTCGGAGAGGTGCCAGAGCTGGTGTCCCACAGGCCCAGGGGGCAGAGGGCAGCGCTGCGGGTGCTCCCGGGCCTGCCCTCACTGCTAAGATCCACCCAGCGCTTCCCCAGCCCTACAGGTGAGCGCTCTGCACCCTCACTCACGCTTTATGTGCTCTTGGGGCAGGTGGCTCTTCCTGGGGCCCTTATGGGGACTGAAGCTGCTCTTGACCCCCATGCCCACCTGGGTCCTCCGGATCTTGACAGGCACGTGGTTGATGAGTGGAGGGATTCTTTGGTATTCATACACCCTGCTGGGACAGAACAGATAGGGAATCAGGCCAGCCAGCCCCACCTGTTTACCCAGAGGACTAGGGGGCAAGACCCACCTACCTGTAGGGGACATCTTCCCTGGACAGCTTGTAATCCAGGTCATAGCTACTGCTGCAACAGAGAAAGATGGGGAAAAGTTCACTCTCCGTGGCCAGAGTCCTTGCCCAGACCCGTTTAACTTGAAGAAACTGAGGTGTGCAAATTTTCCTTAGAATCCCAGAATTCTCCATTGGAAGAGCCCTTAGGGATTTGACCAAGGCCACTTTGAGAGACCACAGCAAACCAGCTTCCCATGTCTGGCTTCTGATAAGGGGCAGCCAGATCGGGGCTCTCCAAAAGTTCTCTGCCTGACCCAGGAACAGCTGATGTTCTGGATGGTAGTTTGGCAAAGGATAAGAGGAAAGAGTTGAGCCAGGGCCCAAAGCCACGGTGGGGGTGTGAGAGCCTTTAATCCTTGCGCTGGGATTGCCAGGATTCGGCCCAGCACTGGCAGGGCCAGCCAGGCAGGGTTAAGGCTGTGGCCAGACCGCCTTCCTCTCTGCTCCAGGCCTTGGGAGAGAGCAGGAGTCTGGAAAGTCCCAGACTCTCACTGCCCGGCCTCTCATGTACCATGCATCTCCAGGCAGCGACTTGGTGCCCAGGAGGGATGTGGAGATGGGAGCAGAGAGATACTTAGGTCCCCGCTTGGGCAGGGCGCTCGGGGGACACAGCTGCGGGGGCTTCGGGATCCATCTGCGCCTGGGGCTGGGACGGGGGATAAGGAGCAGGGGAGGAGATGCGTGCGGGGGCAATACAGCTTCTAGAACAACTTTCTGGTGCTGGGCGCCCACGTCCCCCGCGCAGGCCCAGCCCACGAGGGGCGAGGCCCGTAGGGACACTGAGTCAGATGGAGGACGTTCGGGGCGGGGAGGAGGAGTCGGAGCGTGGCTTCCCCTTCATCCTGGTACGCCCCACAGACCCGTAGGTGAAATTTCCGGCGGCGCCTCCGCTTTCTGGCATCAGGAGGTTTGGATGGGCGGCCTGGAAACAGCAGATATGCCGACTGCTGATTCCGGAGGTGGGAGGCCCATCCTTGGCGAAAGAAAAAGGTGACAGCGGCGCGCCGGGAGGGCGCGTGCGCCGTCCCGGGGGGTCAGGAAAGAGATGGGGGTCCCGCCCGCAGTGCAGGAAACAAGCAGTCTCGGGAGCGCCTGGGACGAGCGGGCGGGGGCTTGGAGGCTAGGCCAGAATTGAAGCTGATGCGTCTCTGCCGGGTGCCGCTGCTCAGGGAAAAATCTCACTCTTCTGGAATCTCTTGGATTGGCTGGGGTGCCCCGCCCCCTTGGACCGGACGAAGACACTGCTCGAACTCGGGGCTGCAGCCTGTCTGTGGCTAACCACCTGGGTCTCTGCGGAAAGCCACGCTTTCAGAGCTGCATTGGTGGTTCAGTGGTAGAATTCTCGCCTGCCACGCGGGAGGCCCGGGTTCGATTCCCGGCCAATGCAACGTCGTAGCTATTTTCTTTTTTTCCTTCCTCCCTTACATGTTTTTCCTTTACAATGACTTTTTGAAGTAGCCGAAAATGAATGGTGAAAGAGTGATATTTCACTGACCGCTTAGCACAGACTTGAGAGCTGCCTGAATTGAAACAGAGGCAGGATTGGTTTGGAAATTAGGTGTTACGCCCCACAGCGATACCTGCTGCAGACACAGGGTCCTCTCAACCTGAGCATGAGGGCTCTGCTTTCTGGCCCTCCTACCTTCACCCCACCCCATGCCACAGCTAGGTCATCAGCCAGGGCTAATGGCAAGTGGCCTTGAGTCTTTCCCCCAAGGGGCAGCGGCCTGGTCACATGAGTTCTCAGAGGCCCTGTCCCCTGGTCTGGGCTAATTGCTAGAGTCTGCCAAGTCCAGACTTCCCACAAAAGGAAGGTAGAACACACCTTCAGATGGTGCTGTGGGCAGAGGTCAAGCCACCTGTGTCCTCAGGGCCAGGGGCAGGGGGAGGGGACTTGGGGCAATCCTTACACCACAGACCTTTCCCTGCAGGTTGAAAAATTCCATTTGTAAGGAAAAAAGAAAAAAGAAAAAAGAAAAGAAAAATTCCATTTGGAGGCCCAAGTCACATAGCCTGGACTTGACTAGTTCTCGTGGTCAGGTCATCCAGAAGCTCAGTGGCCGCCAGAACCGTATTCCCAGCCTGCTCTTCCTCTGGGGGCACCATCCTCAGGGCCAGAGCCACAGCCACATCTGCACACCCACTGCTGCCCCGGACCCAGGCGGCTCCAGTGACAACCCACCCCCACCCCACAAAGGGCTTCATTCTCCCAATAGTCCCCTGTGGATGTGTGGCTGAAGGAGGTCACCCCTGCCCAAGGCCTTGCATGCTGGGTCCCCTCTGAATGGAGTCCGAGCCCTTGCTGGACAGCTGCCAGTACTGCCCATTGCCTCCCCTCTTCCTGCACCTGCGCCCTTCAGAAGGCTGGGAGGAGCAGGGCTGAGTCAGCTGGGAAGGTAGGTGGGGAGGGTAGGAAATCCAAAGGAGACTGGAAGTGAAGGACTGAGGCCCTTAGGGAAGATGGGGTTGATTCCCATGGTTGGTTTGGAGTGTGAAACAGGCCTTAAAAGTGGCCACGTTAAAAAGGCACATGAAAGGGGCGCCTGGGTGGCTCAGTCAGTTGAGCGTCTGACTTTGGCTCAGGTCATGATCTCATGGTTCGTGGGTTCGAGCCCTGCATCAGGCTCTGTGCTGACAGCTAGCTCAGAGCCTGGAGCCTGTTTCAGATTCTGTGTCTCCCTCTCTCTCTCTCTGACCCACCCCTGTTCACGCTGTCTCTCAGAAATTAAAATAAATAAATAAATAATTTAAAAAAAGAAAGCACATGAGGGAACTACAGGAGAGAACCACTTTCCTGCCATGAGGCAGAGATAATTACCAGACCCCTAGAATCACATGAGACAAGGCAAATCAACATGCCACATATGCATTTCTGCTCCACTGAAGAAAAATGAGTTTAAAAAACTGTGTTTCCAATGAGCACAAACCTACTCATCAGCCCCAAACAAAAGCAGTGCAAAAGCCACCCACACTGGCACACTCACAGGGTGACACAGACCTTCAGGCTGATGCTGACAGGGTGAGTTAGCTTAATCTCTCTGAAGGTCAACCTGGAGGTGCAGGGACTTCTCAGAGCAGCCCCCAGCCCAGCTTCAACATCTCACTTCCAGAAAGATGAGGCAAGGTGAAACCCAAAAGAAACTGGAAACTTCCGGCACCAAGGGATTTACACACTGCTGTTCCTAACAGCAAACACCTGCCCCACTGCCTCCTCCACCGCAAGATAGAAACCACCCAAACGCCCACAGTTGGGTCAAGAGCTGAGGGAGGCCATCATGGATGCCCAGCTGAGGGGACACACTTGTTAAGCCTGTGAAAATGGCACGTTGGCTGGCAGAATATGGGAAGCTCCTTTCCGAAAATGTTTAAAGATTTCTTAACATTTTTTTTAATGTTTATTTATTTTTGAGAGAGAGAGCAAGCATGAGTAGGGGAAGGACAGACAGAAAGGGGAACAGAGTTGTTAGCACAGAGCCCAACGTGGGGCTCAAACTCACAAACCCTGAGAACAAGACCTGAGCCGAAGTCAGATACTTAAATGACTGAGCCATGCAGGCTCCCCTTACCATTTTCTTATGCTTCCCAAATTAGGGGCAAGATTTCATCCAGGGAAGTTCCCATTTGCTACTCCCCAAAAATCTGTACATGGACAAAGCCCCCAAGTACCATGAAGGTGGGGATCCCCTGGGAGGACCCATGCCCCCTGGCTCCAGGTGGGAGGAGGGGGCATCCTGCCTCTGTCAGCAGGGTGGTGCTGGGGAACATCAGCGATGAGCAGCCTTGGTCATCTCCTTCAGTTTGTGGACAAAAGCAGAGGCCGAGGAAGAAGGGACCTCCAGGTGCCACAGTGAGTACCCCGAGCTGGCCTCCTGAGGACTTTGTTCCATCCCAGGGGATCACAGAGCCCCAGACAAGCCCGTAACCAGCCTCCCTCCCCTTCAGACAACCCTGGACAGACTCACCAGGAGATCGCTGTGCCGGGCTGCCTCTTCTGGCCTGGCTGCGTGGGCCCCGGCCTGGGCTCTCCAGCCATGTCTAAATCTGAAGAGAGAAAGAGAGCAGGGCAGAGCATGAGAGGAGGGAGGAGAGGTGCCGAGGAAGGGCCCAAGTGCACACGGGCCTCACTGGCTTCCAGGCTGGCCCCTGCCTGCTCCTCAGCCCCCAGGCAGTGGGTATGGTCCCCTGAGTGGCCCTGAGACGCAGTGCAGCAGAGCGGGCAGCCTGGCCTGGCCTCCTTCACACCATGGGAATCAACCCCATTGCCCGTGCCCTTGGTGGTACCGTCCAAAGGCAGGAGGGAAGATATCAGTGATCTTCGTGTCCTCTGGAGAGACACCCAGCCCTGGCCAGCGACAGTTTTCAAGTGTCCTGCTGCCTGTCTGCCTGCCCACTTGCCTGCCTGCTGCCGGCCCACGCGCCCAGCTGCCTGTGGGCTAAGCCCCTGGGTCGGAGATGGCCGGGGTGGCTCTAAGTGAGAAGCAAAGCCAGCAGCTGGCCTGCACTGGGGAACAGACACCCCACTGCCCTCTCCCGGCGGGGGAGGCAAGAGTTGGCTGATCCCATGCAGGGGAGGGCTGAGACGGGTCTGTGCACCAGTCAAGGCAGATCTAGTTTCTGGGCTCCTCTCCTTTGCTGTTCACCTCTCAAGAAGGCAGCTCTTTGCCCGTGGGAGAGGGAGGCGACTCCCGCTCACTGCATACCCCCACTCGGTACTCAGGGCCCGGCCCTCAGTAGGCACCACCTGATGTCTGCGGAATACTTGAATGGAAGTCCATGAAATCGATTCTGTTTTTGTTTGGGGTTTGGATCAGACTCCAGAGTTTTGCTTGTAACTTCAAGGCCCCTCCTCTGAGCCCAACCCTTTTCTTCCTCAGTCTGTGATCATCATATGTGGGTCCATTGTGGCTGCCAAGATGGTAACAAATGTGAGCCTTCTCCTTTTCCTGTTCTCAGGACTTCATACAAGAGCCAAGAGCACTTACTCAGCACCTGCTTGCTTGACATGGGGAACAGGAGAGTGGCCATAGTGTCCTTGAGGCACCTATGATCCAGACCGAGTGTTTAATTGGGAGGAAGTTGCCAATTTATCACCCCCATCTTGGCCTTCCTCTTCCATTCATGGTCCTGATTCATCCCCTCAAGGACACATTACCCAAATGTCCATGTACCAAGGTGAACACCTGTACTTTGTCTTGTCTGGCTTTCTTTTTTTTTTTTTTTT